CAGACAAACATTTCAGAATTTCAGACACATACCAAGAACATGGAGAAAAAATTAATTAGTGCTTCGGATATTCAACTGTAATAGAGAACGATTTTCAATTCTGATTTTGTACATTACCTGTGACTGTTCACATCATTTGGCGGCGTCTTTGATGTGCAGCATCAACATTTAACTTGTTATCTTTTGTAGTAGTTTCAGTAACCATGTTGAATAAATTATCTCTTATTTATATTGGCCAATGCGTTTAATGCAGGCGATTATGCAAAGAAGAAACGCGATAGATTGACACTTTTGTCAACATTCTTTCTTGAATCAAGATGTCTACACATTAGACCAGTATTTTCATTTTATTTGAAATTTTATTTATTTATTTATTTATTTATTTATTTATTGTTTTACTATCTAGAGGCGAGTAACTTAAAAAATGTATATGGCCTAAAAATGTTAATACAATGAACAGGATAGTTATGATTTATTCAAACAAAGAGTGCAAATAAATCTTAGAAAAAAAAGTTAAAAATAAAATCATATCCCCACCATCTCATCTCATCTTACAAAAACACCAAAAAACATTTCTATGTTTTCTATTCTACTATTCTATACAATTTCAAATGAATGTAAGATGAAATGAATGGGACTGACTCCAGTAACAACGGAATGTGAAAATAACGCACGATTCGTGCAGAATTGTGCAATAAATGACGGCTACCTGACAGTATTTCCAACGCAGTAAGAAAACTGGCCAATATATTTCTTATTTAACCGAATTAAAAAAAATCAATAGCCGCATACGGCTGCAAAGACATAACTCTTCATCCCTCATCATGATTATTTCCACGAAATTGTTTACTTTTCAAGATAATTCGTGAAAATGATGACTTGACTATCGTTTTGAATGACATTTTGGCTTTCTGTCGACTCTTATAAGTACAGCAGTGCATATTATTCCGGAAAATTTCGATTTTAGGTAGGCAAGTGACATTTACTTTACTTCTGGTGATATAAAAATTTGAATTGAGCTGATAAAATGGCATTCAAGTCGTTTTTATGAGGTAACGCAGATGTACGTAAATAGTGCTTCGCGGTAACGCCGAAATGTGATTTTTTTCATATATGGTACTGAACTGTTACACAGGTTTAAAGCCATTAATCGGCGAGTATAAGCACTTTTCAACTATATTTTGTGGGGGAAACTTTAATTCATTTTATACATAATTTATTTTAGTTTGATTGTGTAGAAAATAGACACAGTCTCGAATTAGTCCCTGAAATCACAGAGCTATAAGCTTCGTAATACTCGTATACGTCGTGAGTACGAAGCAATGCGTGAAAAATTTCATACTCAAAGAAACAAAGGGGTAGCGTAGCAACGTGGTAGCAATTTCTCAATACCTATTGAGATGGTAGATATGAAAATGGGTTTTGTTATATTGTATAATTTTTCATTGTTCTCACTCTTCATTAATTACTTGACATGAAGAAGTCTTCTTTTAGACAGACCTTCATGGCATAGATAGATGTAATCCTCCACAAACACATCTCTAGTAGCTCTCAATATACATGTTAAGAAACCAAAATATATTCAACCTAACTTGAGTCTATGTGACCTTTTACCTGGTAAATTTATGAAATGGATTTTCTGTGCTGTGAACTTGGAACACTTCATTCAAAGTCTGAGAGATTGGTATTAGATAGTTCATGTATTTGTACAAATGAGCTACCTGAGTGAGCAAATGGACACTCTGTATGAATGCGACCTGGCTCTGTATTGGTGGCCTTTTTAGGGTCATTAGTCCTGTTAGTTTTGTAAACGTCTATATCAATGCCTAGCATAAACTCTTACCGTAGATTCATATGACTTTTCCATACAAGTTAACATATAATAAGCAACACTAAGAGTAGGGTAAATTTTTACCCTAAGGGTTATAATTTATTTAGGTTTAGACAATAAGGTTATGCTTTTACAAGCTTTGGGCATTATAGTTTCTAAGTAAAATATCTTTTGAATACAAGTTACTTCCTTATATAAGAGAAAAAATAAATAAAATAAATAATCCATTTTCACAGAAGTTCACCAGGCGAATTGATACAGCTAGATATTTGTATTGATTGGGTTTCACATCCCGCCAACACAATAAAGGACATAATATTATGGAGACTTTCAAGCTTTACTGGTGCATTATTTCAGGCATAAAATATACAGACACTTCTTCTCTTGATTGTTTTCTATTATTTTTATATTCAATTTATTTGCAAACTAAGTTATTGTTCTTATTTTCTTAGAAAGATCAGACGTGGGCAGCATGTTCAAAAATAATAATTTTATTTCAGGAAACAATTGTTTAATTGAACTAAGTTACAATATGCAATCAAAATGTTAAAAGTTTGTCAAGATATGAATAAAATACATTGACTATAGGTCGCAAATAACTTGATTACATTCGCCGATAAAAGGCGTTAAACCTGTGTAATAATTCTGTACCATATAAGAAAAAAATAAAATTTTCCGGCAATACCTCGAATACACCCATAAACACTTTCCATATAATCTACGTAAATAACCGAGGTATATCGAGTTCTTTCCCTTATCTTCGAGAAAAAATCGACACCAATGGATAGCTTTGAATCTTAGCTTCGTCACAGTATATATACTTAAGGACAATGAAAACGCACGGTCGGAATATTTGCGTTTAAACAAGGAAAATATATTTCCTGTTAGTATTTTTTAACAGTTTCATAAAACCGAATGCATTCCGGTCATTCAGATACCAAAGTTATGAAAAATGATTGCATTTTAATGAAGTTATTGCATGATAAAGACAGTACCCGAAAAATCAAAAGTAACACTTTTGGCTAATTGTGATAAGATCACAACAGAAAACAGATTTAATCAATTCATGGTTACTTTATGAAATGAAATAATTTATTTTTTTAAACTGTTAATTATTAACTTGTTGTTTTCACACCTTTCTATAAATGTTAAACACAAATGAGCAATTCAATTTTTTATGAAAATGAATATTAAACTACTAGTATGCCAATGGTCAGTTTTAGAAATCGTAAAGCTCACATTGAAATTGCATATACACACTTTTCCTCTATAAAAGGTGCCTAATTTCAAACACTATTGAATACTTGCTAGCAAATTGTACAAAGAATTAACCGCTGGGTAGATTTAGGAGAGATTCAGTCTGGTCTATCTTACAATCAAATTTTGTAATATCAAAGCGCCAACCGTTTTGGTGTCCGTCGGTCTACAATTTCTCGGCTTCACCAGCGTTTTCGCACTACACTACAGGCTGAATGGCGTCAGATTCCACAGGCGACTATCCGCACCGTAATGTCTATGAGGCGTCGATGTACATCTGTTAAGAGACGCTGATGGAGGATATTGTCGTTTCTAAAGATCCCGACGGTGACATTACGAATAGACATTTATGAGTGACTTTGTTTTGGATTTTCATTTTTTGCCTTTTTTAAGTTTGCATTACTGTGATGAAAAAGTGTGATTTTGGGATTTTCACCTAAGGTTCTTCAATTTACTGGTGTACATTTGATTTTAAACATTTTGAATTATTTTCAGTTGTTAAGTTTGCGTTTTGCATTAAAGTTATGATATATATCTAATGGAGTCATAAATGTTTTGTTTTCATGTAACAAAATGCAGGGTGTGCGTTTTCATTGTCCTTAAGTATACATCAACACATCTTTTGAGACAATAGTATTTAAATTAACTGTTAAACTTACCATATGTCAGACCATTTTACATACTATTTATATAGTGAGATGCGTACATCGGCGTGACCTCATAAAAACGGCTTGAATCACATTTTATCAGTTTATTTTCAATTTTCTATATCACAAGAAGTAAAGTTTATGTCACTTGCCTACTAAAAATCTAAATTATACGGAATAATATGCATTGTTGTACTTATAAGAGTCGACAAAAGCCAAAATGTCACTCAAAACGGTGGTCAAGCCATCATTTTTACGAATGATCTAGAAAAGTAAACAATTTCGTGGAAATAATCTTAATGAGGGATGAAGAGTAATGTCTTTGCAGCCGTATGCGGCTATTGATTTTTTTTCAGTTTAGTTAAATCAGAAATATATATTGGCCAGTTTTCTTACCGCGTTGGAAATCCTGTCAGGTAGCCGCCATTTATTGCATAATTCTGCGTTACTTACTGCACGAATCGTGCGTTATTTTCACATTCCGGCGTTACCGGATATACACGGTGGACTAATAAACTGACAAATAACTACAAAATAAATTATGACAAAGCATTCAACACGGCTTACTACCTTCCTTTGTTCCAAAAACGCTACAGACAAGACACAAATTTGTACATTAACTTAACAAAATATAATACATGTTTAGTTTTGACTTATTTTGATTAAGCTGCAAAGGTGGTTGAAATAAATTTGACAATTTATTTATCATATTTTAATTTCGACAAGGTTTTAATACATTTATTATTGACTTCTCTATCTGAAAGAAATGTGAATTTTGTACGTAACTCCGTGGCATTGTAGGGAGACCAAACATTTTGTTTTTAAGTTCAAAAAGGCTAATCCTTAATAAAACCCGCATAGAGTGGAATAAATTGAAAACTTAAAGTAATTCAAACATTGCCACCTTAAAAATTTTGATTAGTATTTTTGGGCTGGACGACTTAGATTTTTAATTATTCTATCAGAATTTTATAATTTATATTAATCTTGTAGCTAAGATGTGAGAAAAGCAAAATATTTACTGCTATGTAAAAGTTATAAGAAACGAACTAGTTACGAGGATATAACACTAGCTGGGGCGACATCGAGGGAAGTTTCTGCAAAAAAAGGCGAGGCCGTTAGAAACATTCCGAGATGTCGCCCCGTAACTAACAAGTTTTATATATTTAAACTGTTTTATCTGATTTATTTAATATTTTTGTATTCTAAATCAGCATAATGACCCTTTCACGTTAGTTTCAAATGGAAACCCTCATGACCCCGAATAAAATGAACCAATACCAGCTAATGTCGTCGGAAGCTACCTAACAGCTATATATAATAAGGCAGTTCAAATCAAATTAAAGGGTCCTGAATAATAATGGGTTAAAAAATAACAAAGAAAAATTCCAAACCATGCGATAATGATCTGATTTGGTGCACACAGACAAGTTATGGATATTTTTCCTCATTACAACACTCCTGCTTTTAATAATAACAATAGAACGCATTGAATAAAACGCAGTTAATGGAATTTTCCTTAAACCATAATCGCCTCGTTGAACGTATATAAGGCCTCATGCAGAGTTGAAGACTGTATTGTTGCAGGGATAATAGTCATCACAGGTATTGATAGTCATAAGGTAAGTTCAAAATTATTTGTTTTTCGTATGCTTCACTCTTTCAATATAATGGCATTGTCTTGCTTTGCATTCTGCTTTGAATCTGGAGCGGATGATTTGACAGTTAAAATTATCAAAATGTTATTTCAAACTTTCAGGACTATAACATGTGTAAAGAGACTTCTGTTTTAAATAAATTACCCCATGTAGTACCTCATATGTTTTGACACTATTTTGACATTATTATCCCCGTTTGTAACATTACAATTAAAGCTGAAAATGATTAATAAGTAAAATTAAAATCACACTCAAATAGACAAAATTTATTTACATACTTTTACTCCATTCTTTTGTAGTTTTCATGGCCTCCTCTTTAATTTGCCGCTTGATGAGCTTTGCAACAGTTCATAAGTATTCACGAGCGAGCAAAAAATGTAATTATTGACAGTTATCTTTTTGGTAGTCTTTTCATATATGACCATGATTTTAAAATTTTCTTGAATGTACATGTATATCAGACAACAGTTAGCCTGTATTGTATCTATCTCCAAATAAGTTTTCCACATTTGGATCAGTCATCAAATCCAAGGAATATTCGTTAAATCGAAGGTATACACTATTTCTTTCTCCAAAACGGTGGACATCAAAATCTGTCACTTAAATAAAATGTGTAATGAACTTCGCGCGGTATAATAGTTAACAACTTACATCTGTCATAATTGTTGTTGTTGTTTTTTTTTGTTGTTGTTGTTGTTTTTTTGTTGTTTTTTTTTTCGTTTTTTTTTTTTTTTTTTTTTTTTTTTTTCATTTATATTAGCAAAACATTCATTCATGTTTCTGTTTAAACTAAAAATTATTATCGTGATCTTAATATGTCCTTTTTTAACGTTGCTTCCATGTATTATAAAAAATCGGATGAAATCTACAGCTACAAATTACGGAGGAAAAACGAGATTTTATTACTTAAGGCATTTACTTAAAATGTGAATTAAACTTGTAATTAAGCATAAAGATGTCGACCTTAAAGATGTTATTATGTCTCCGAGAAACAAGCTTTTATTATTGAAGGCAAATACATAAAAATGTGAATTTAACTTGTAATTAAGCATAAAGATGCCTACCTTAAAGATGTTATTATTTCTCCCAAAATTTGTTTTTGCCTTCACCGTCTGTCCGTCCGTCTGCACGTCAGTCCGTCCATCCGCATTCAGCTTTTCCCGCTTTCACAGGTCAAACGGCTGGCAGAATTTCAATGAAACTACACAGAGTGATCAGTACCATATCTAGTTGTGCACAGCGCCGGCACGTTTCGCTTGGCTGCACAAAATGACCGCCATAGCTATAAATAGAAAAATCTTGTCCGGCCGAACTTCTGGCGGGATGTCATTGAAACTTCATGGGAGTGATCAGTACTATCCCTAGTTATGCATATCACCGACACGTTCTGCTCAGCTGCACAAAATGGCCGCCAGAGATATAAATAGAAAAATTTGTCCGGCTTTCAAATGTCAAACTTCTGGCGGGATTTGACCAAAATTCACAGAAGTGATCAGTACCATACATTGGTTTTGGAGACTTCTGTTTTTGTGGCAAAACTCCCTCTAGTTCTAATTCATCCAACTAGCTTCAATACATTTGTGGCTACTTTACGTAAAATACTGTCTATGAAGCTTAAGAAAACATAGCGAATATCTACATACTATTTCATTTTATGCTGTACTACTTAAAAAAATTAAGACATACATTGATATATAATATAATAAGGTTTTATGTCCACCATTTTGAAAAAGATGGCTCAACTGTATGAGCAATAAGGTCTCGTTTTGGAGACCCAGATAGGACAAAAGATAATGAGCTTTTAAGAAATAGGAATAATTACATTTTAAGGCATATTTGGCCTCTGAGAAAGTAATTTAAGCAAAACTATAATTGAACCTTGACATATATGATAAAGAGGTACCACAGATAACAAAACGTGCTATTATCGAATGAGTTCATATGTAACTATTTTGTTTTATTTTCAGTTGTAAGATGGGTGGCAGTCAATCAACTTCGAATACATTCGTGGCGGTTCAAAATTCCTTTCCACATGACGTTTACGCTAAGTGCGACTCAGAAACTCCAAAACTGATTGAAATGGATGAGGATGAGGAAATGGCTATTGGAGGTAAATTAAACGCAAAAGACGAATCCGGGATAACTGCAGAAATGAGGCACAAAGGTCATCAGAAGTTCTTGGCCAAAATTATCAATATTGGGTTTTCAACTGTTAAGCCTGGAAAATACCTTGAATTCAACGTTCCTGTGAAGAACACAGAAACAGTTTACATCACGTTATACGCTAACAACGAGAATGGCAAATTGTTTCATCCACTTTGTGTCAACCTCCCGAAAAATATCAATGCCCATGTTCTGGTTGAATACGACGGACAAGTTGTCCAGTCTGATGATACAAGTTTGTTTAAACCGAAAGAATGAAATAAATAAGAAACGGTTAAAAAGTGTAATACAATGTAATAATACTTGTATTTTACTCTTAAGAAGAAATAAACACCAAATTAATGCAGTTGACGAGTTTGAGCACAGATAAAAAAATCTTTATTCAAATAACTACAGATAAATTTCGAAATTGCATTTGTTATAAAAAAAGTTTTTCCCTGGTTCTGATTAGTTTTACCAAGACGTGTTATATAAGATATCAGACAAGATTATAAGTTTAAAAAAAATGCAATGAACATTGTATGAAACAGCTTAAAAACAATAGAATAACGAGAAGAATATTTTAATAATTTAACTTTCAAATTGTGATAATTATAAAAATCTGAATGAATAATAAATAGTTGGAACTGCATATGTTTGGTCATGTTTTCTTTTTTGTTTTATTTTTTTGTTTTATTGCGCCTCCAAGGATTTAAAATCGTTCTGTCCGTCTGTACGAATGTTTAAAACATATTGACGACATGTCCGTTTGTCAAAGGTCAAGGTAACTAACACTGTCAAAGGTCAAGCTAACAGACACTGTCAACGGTCAAGGTAACCTATCACTTCACTCCCAACATTTCCGTCCCTGTATGTTAGTATATAAAACGTGTGTTAGTTAAGATGCTTGTTTTTATTTAAGGCTAATAATGACTCAGAAACTTTTTTTACCGCAAACATGCATTTTATCATGATTAAATATTGGTAATTTAGAGCATGTTAGATGCTTATTATCTAAAGAAGTAGCGCTGCTAGGTGTGAAATTACTTCTAATAAAACTAGAAAAATGTAAACAAAGTAATCACTATAACTGCACTTAGTCTCAGAAAGCAACAGATGCAAAATATGACCCAGGTTGTCAGCCAATGAGTTATTTTTAGAAACTACAAAGGAGCAACATAAAGATTTTGAGAAATATAAAAAAATATATTGATACATAATAGGCCTTTTTAATTTAAAATGATTAAACGTGCATATGTGCATATATATGTGCGTGCGTGCGTGCGCCTGTGTTATCATTGGTTTCTCGATATAATCTGTCGCCTGATATGGTTTAAAGTTGAGATAATGTAGATTTATCTCGTATACATAAAATAGAAGAGTACATCACAGTATATAAAACTTATGTATATATAAGTTTGTAGAGCTTCTGAACGATAAAAGTTCCCTGCTTCAAGTTCGAAGACATTGCGTGAGTACAACAAGTTATACATGTATACTAGCAACAACATTTATCGTATAATCTAAACGGTAACCAGTCTAATGTTCATGATTTTCCCTGAATTAAACAAATGTTTCAATTGTAATGCTGAAAACACAAAATAATTAAGCTTGCCACCAGATTAGAGCCGTGCCAACATGCACTTCCGTCCAATCAGACCAGGCGTTCGTATATACTGTTGGAAGGTCCGTGTTGGTATCTCAATAATGAAATCCCAGTGAAAATTTAAATGAATTGGTCTAACTTCATAGCTGGGCGAATCCATTAAACAAAATTCTCCAACAGATAAACAAGAAAGTACAAATCAAACAACCGTATCTGATGACCTATTTGAACTATTGTCATCTCAATACTATTAGTAACGGATTGTCGATGTCCCCAAGGTGAGATAACGTTATCATATACTTACAGATAATCTCAGATTTATATTACTAAGTATGTCATTGCATAACCTTCAAATAACCCCCCTTCAAATAACTCCAGTTACATTCTTTAATATATTTCACGTAGTTGGCTGAAGTGAGTACATTTATTATGTATTTATTGTTTTTCATTGGTCAATTATTGAAGAGATAATTGTCATATTTATGTTCAATAAATGTTATACTTTTGGAATAGCTTAGACTTTTTATAGCAGTTTAAAAAGTTTAACGTACAACTGCACGTCAAGAACACTTTTGATTCGTATTTTAAGTTGTCAGTTTATTTTAATGTAGAAAGTATGAGTAACGCTCTAGATAACGCGCCTGAACGTCAAAAACATACTAGAACAAAGTTTTCGTAGAAAAAATGTACATTGCACATTGCTATGGGTATAGCACTGCAGACATAGTGTAAGGCATTAACAGTATAATTCATTTATTATTTGTTCGTAAAAACTTCCTTTACTGTTGTTTCGGACAACACGCAATTCATTGGTAAAATTATATTAACTACAGTTCAGCGATAAATAGAAAAGGACCATTTTACCATTTCAAGAAAGCAATGTTTCGTAGGTTTTTTTCCATGGTTTCGTTTAGGGCACACGCCTTCTCTTGCTTGGATTTCATGAAATTGCAGACAGGTTTCGTGATAATCATCGTATGAGCACATAAACGGATGTTTCTAAATTCAAAACGATGACATTTAGAACTCTATTAAAGTCAGTGATATATCAAGAATAGTACCTGGCATTTACCAATACATATATTGTACCGTCTTTGAACAGGCTTTATACAACATATAATATGGTGTTTAATATTGTCGTTTTTGTGTTCTTAAACGTTTCCATTTCTTTTACGATTCTTGCAAAGGTTTGATTGGTTGTTTTGTTTGATCCAGACTGTGAGCTGTAACACGAAAAATGCCTAAGGAAGGATTTGGTCCACATGGAAATGGTAAGTCAATCATTTTTCCTTGTGATAACTGAGAAATATATCAGCTAAAACATCAAGTGAAATATCATAGCTTTATGGAATGGAAGAATATTCGGATGTCCTAGTGTATTTGACTTAGAAAATCAACTGATTCAAAAATTCTTTTCTTAACTTCTTTTTGTCAATTATTTCATCAATTTAAAGATATTCCCCGTGCTTAAATTTAGTGTTGTTATATTTTTCTTAATCTTCGAGATCAGTGATTCCAGCACATTAAGTATTGAAGATTGATTACAGTTTAAGTCGGTGCTAGCGAATGTGAGAGATGTTGCACTTTTTCATTCTCTCTCGTGAACAGACTCAGTAATTCTTATATAATATTGTTGAATCACTTCATCCGTAATGAATGTGTTAACTGTGGTGATCTTCTCTTCAACAGAATATAAATATGAGGAACCAGAGTTCAGGGTAACAGACGAAGTGCGTCGTTCATTTGATGATAATGGATTCATAATTGTCCGGTATGTTCAAGTGTTCATTTTAAAACTGTAAACGTGGTTTTGGCATATCTCACTTATTAAATAATTATGGTTATAACTACACTTTAAAGTCCTAAAAGAAATCTTCTGAGTAACTGGGTACTCGATCGGAAGAATGACCATGTACTCGAGTACACGGAAACCGGTACTCGTTATCATTTCTGGTCATTATCAATAAGGTATTTCATATTATCATTATGCTTATTTTTGTTGGGTTTTACGTCGCACCAACACCGTTGAAGTCACGTGGCGACTTTTCAGCTTTACCGGTTGAGGAAGACTTCATCAAAGATAACGCAGATCTGCGGGAAATACATGCACCTATCATCCTCATTAAGATATGTATGAAGCATCCTGTTAAACTGATCAGTGTGAGCCGCGCAATGACAAAACCAACCTAATGGGTTTGCGACCAGCATGGATCCAAACCAGCCTGCGCATCCGCGCAGTCTGATCAGGATCCATGCTGTTCGCTATCAGTTTCTCTACTTGTTATAGAGTTTGTAAGCGAACAGCATGGATCCTGATCAGACTGCGCCGATGCGCAGGCTGGTCTGGAGCCATGCTGGTCGCAAACCCATTATGTTGATTTTGTCATGACACGGCTCAGTGTACCCAGTATTCAAAGATGTCATATTGTCAAATTTTATTGCAGCGGACTGATGGACAGTGTTGAGACAGGCAAAATAAAAAAATCACTTGAAGAGTACGGGCTTGTGGAAAAATATTCATACGGGGTATGTGAATAAAATTTTAGAGTTATACATGTAAATTCCGTAAAAAATGCTAGCTTTATCTACGTATGTTAAGGTGCTTTAATGTAATTGATCAAATATAAACATTTCTAACATGGCAAAGTGATTTATCTGTTTGTCTGCTTGAAATACAATAATATAGCTATTTGAATAGCAAAATCCACATTATTAAATTATATATCTAAGCTTATTGCTCTTTGATCTATTTGTGTGTCCATGGACCCGATTTTGATCAATAAATCCCTTTCATTTACAGCTAAAAATAAATTCGGAACCAAAAATTCCTTCCGATTTCTATTATGTAAAGTCATATATTTGTTTCCCCTTCGTTGATTCGCAACATGTTTTATTAATGAATGAGAACGGGAAAAAAATTTACGCCAGGCAGAATAAAGGACAAAACAAAAAATAAACTAAATTCGGTAATTTATTTCTTACTTTAGTATTTTCTACTGAAAATAACTAATTCTTTTGTAGTACGCAGTGGGTTATATATGTATTCCATTGCTGCGCAAAACTGGTAACACGAATTCAAAAGAAATAGAAAACCTTAATTAACATTGAGTATATATCCCATTCCACCATAATTAATAGGCCTTAAGGTATTGTTTAGCCCAATACTGAATTAAGTTTCTCGAGGAATGATTCGATTGACATATTTTATTCATATATCTATCTTTAATTTCTTAATTTAATTCTTGCCTGCATAAATGTCTAAAATCTTTCCATGGTGCTCAGTAGTTTTTTCAGTTAACCATCTCTCTAATAATTTCTCATTGTGCATTGCAGCAACATTAATAAATTTTGTACTTGTCTGATTTAAGATAATAATGACTATGTATGGACCTGGTAAAGAAACGTACATGTAGATCTAGGCTCTTGATTGTTATAAACACGTGGATTAAGAATGGTTATGCAAGGTATCAGCTCATGAAAAGAAAGCTCAACATATATATAAAACAATAAAATGTAAAACATCAGATACCCTTGTTTTAATTAGCTTCCAGATGCACAAGGTAGAGAGCCCAGGATGATGCTGTGGAGTTATTGTGGAAATGACGTATAAAGACTGGTTCCTCGTGTTGAAAAAGTCGTCTCAACATGCGAAAAGGTAATATCTAACTTTATTATTTACGTTGCAGGTACCAGATTCAAGCGGAAGAGAGCCGCGCGTGCTACTATGGAGTTATTGCGGAAATGACGTTCTAGGCTTAGTGCCGCGATGTGAAAAAGTAGTATCTACGTGCGAACAGGTTTAAGCTTTAACGGGTTTATTTGCTATAATGATCACCTTAAGTATTTAATGCATAAAATATACATATTTTGGACATTTTCCATTGCATTTCTTAACAATTTCAGTCAGAGTGTGCGGCGTTTTACCGAAATAAAGTGGCGGTAATTATAAATCTCAAAAAAATTAAAAATATGTATATTCTCAGCTGATGGGCGGAGACGAGCTTTACCACTATCACACGAAAATAATGATGAAAGATGCCAAGAAAGGCGGTAGCTTTGAGTGGCACCAGGATTATGGGTAAATTTAATATCATTTTTATTTTTCTCAGCGAAAATTTCATTTATTGCTTCAGACATATGTTGTTGCGTAGTAGTCCAGTTATTCTATTTATAACCTAGAAAAACTTGCAAAAGAATTGATTTCTTGAGCATCACACGTGACACTGTCTAATTAAGACACAATTATTTGTTTTAATTCAGATACTGGTATAAGAATGGGGTGTTAAAACCTGATTTGATGAGCATGTTCCTAGCTGTTGATCCGTGCGTAAAAGAGAACGGAGGATTACAGGTATGATTGATTTCCCTTTTCACGACCAGTTGAGAAAAAAGCTCAGATCTCAGATATCTGATTGGTCAGAAACTCTCAAAGAATGTACACTGACCAATGAAAATCCTGAGATTTGAGACAGAACTCATCAAAAAAAGTTGTATAACCTCAAGGCGGGGGTATTATAACATTCAGGTATTCCTGCCGAATTTTATAAAACATCATCAGCATTTTGCCCATTTATGTTGTCAATTATAAATATCTTCGTTTTAATTTTATTAGATGGCAAAATAACAACATTTTCTAATTTACATGATAATATTTATGTATGTAAAAGTTATATATTGAAAATGAATGCTTTAACATTTTTATCATATTTGGCGTCATTATTTGCCATATAGATGTTTGTAAGTATCAAACTTTATTGTTGAAAACAATGTTAATCAATTAGTTTTGCAGTTTATAACTTTTCAATTAAGTCAAAACGTAATGTTCAGTGTGTGTGTGTGTGTGTGGCGGGGCGGGGGGGCGTAGGGCGTGCAACGTTCTTGGGTATGAAAAATTTCTGTTCTAGCTGATACAGTATATATGATGAATAATAATATTTTGTTCTAGAACAATTTATTATCTGCTATATATCCGTATATAGTTATTTCGTGGTTTTGTTTAATACTGGATACAATCATTATAATTATTTATGGTATAACAGACCTTCCATTACGGACCAATTCACTTTAATAAATTTTCCAAGAGCAACTGATTAACCGATTCTTTAGAACTCGTGTGGGCCTCAACATAATAAATACTTGATCTGGAGATATAAGAATTGCTAACATGAACAACAAGTTCCTCTTTTGTGGTTGTTTGTTGCTGCTGGTGCTGTTGTTGTTCAAATGCAAATAATTGTACATTTTTGCAGGTTCTTGTGGGTAGTCATAAGGCTGGCCGAATTGATCATAACTTTGACGGTGGCCAACAGGGGGCCGACAAAGAAAGAGTCGAACATTTAAAGAAAGTCTATGAACACTTTCAAGTTAATCTACAACCCGGTACGTATAGTTTAGTTTAATAAACTTCATGTTAATTTTATTAACAATGTTTAATTGGCTAGCTATGAACATTTGTATAATAGTTTTACTTCGCTTTGAATATGTCCCCGTGCAACTTTGAAAAAGGACCCGCTAAAACACATTTTCAAAAATCACAGGGCAGAACTTCTACTTATCTGAAAATCACAGAACTTTTAAATTTTGAATTACAGGGGACGCCATTTTGTTTCATAGCAACCTTCTTCACTCGAGCGGACCTAACGACAGTGCGCAAAGACGCTGGGCCTTTAACTGTTCATACAACAAGAAAAGTAACAACCCTGTGAAGAAACATCACCACCCGTGTTACAATAAACTAACAAAGGTATTTTTGTCAAACCTTTACCACGCTATATATCTTTATTAAATGAACTTGTCCTATCTTTCAATATGAACAAACATATTCATCATCTTTATGGAAAAATTCAAAATATGTACAGACTGAATAGTCAGCTTCGAAGACCATGATCACACCTTTTTGTGTGTCTACGAGTTAAAAAACCGTCTCCGTAATGTACAGTCATTTTAATGGAAGTTATGGGAACCGATAATCATTGGTTCAAATTATATCGTTCTCTTAAAAACGGCACAAGAACAAACTTGTCCATGAAACTTACTGGAAATAATTTATATAAGCTGTTTGGTAACACATTTTATTTGATACGTCCTGGCTTTGGATACCCATTTACCTACAATATCTATTAAATCTTTACAGGTGTCCAATAATGCCATAAAAGAGTGTGAAATCTACTGTGAACCTGAAGGCAAGGACTTTGTGGATCCATCAACGGACGAGACAGTAAAAGCCGGAAGTAAACCTGCCGAGGAAAAATAGGCCACGTACTGACATTATACGCCCATTACGGACATTATAGGCCAATTACTGACATCTGATGCTTGTTGAACTGATTATTACAATTTGATTGCCGTATTACGGAAAACGCACTAGTCTTTACATGTACATGTAATAAATACGTTAGCTGTATCTTCAAATAACAAACAGATATACTTGTATATTAGCATATACTCGTAATGTTACTAAGCTGTTTATATGCATGACCATAGTCTACCCTCAAAACATGCATTATATAAAATCAAATCAAATGGAACAAATATAATAGATGACAAATGTTCTATTTTTCATTGATTTCCCAATATATCACAGAAATGACCCTCCTTAAGCCCTGGGTGATAACACGACATTATGCCCATCCTGCGTGTAAGTCAGTGAACAGATAAACTACAACTTGACATACATGTACTTTTGTTAAATCTAGGACTATAACCAGTGAACAATTTTATATTTTACTATGAAACAATAATTAATAATCCAAGTGACCAACGAAAAATTATAGAAGTATCAAATTTATATAAATATCGTTCAGTACATATGTATATAAACATTGTAGGTAACATTTAATGCAGCAGCCTTTTTATAAGTCATTTTTTATTGTATCATAAACATTTTGCAATACCAATTACTCATTATAATCTTTTGAAATATATTACTGATTCAACTCATGTTGATAGCAAAATAAATTAGCATAATGTCAATTAATTCCTTTCATCATCTGTGGCCATGACTTCATGTACATTTGTATAACGTCCAAATATACAAATTAAAACACAATATAAATAATAACAACACAGTTTTCTAACATAATTTTTATTTATTTCAGATCTTAAAACGAAAGTAACTATGCTGTTATAAAGTTGATTCTTTTTTTTGATGGACAAAAAATGGAGTAAAATTTTTTTGAAAAATTATGTATTAACCCTGGAACAAAATACGATTTGTGTCCCACACTAACCTAACAATATATTCAACTAAAAATAAATGAACTTGATCTTAATTTCTTATTAAAAATTTGTTGTTTTTTTTTTAATGGAAAGTTCAGAATATTTCAAGATATAGAAAGTATCTAATCTAATAAAAGGATAAAAATTTCTAACACAGATTTGATAATTCTTTTCTGGTTGTCAAATAAATATAGACAGTATGCATACACCTGCATATTGACACCATCACCAAAACAAATACAAAAGCCACTACAAAAAAACTGAGTATAAAAAAAATAAGTTTTCCATATACATTTAGTATTCCTATAACTGCCGTTTTTAACTTTGGCTAAAAATTTCCTAAAGCTTATTAACAAATACAATGATTTTGTTCTTGCATTCATTTTTAAACTACTTATATATCTGGTTAAGACGATTTTCTTTTCTTTGAATTTCTTTAACTTTTCGTGTTTTATTTTTATTAAAGTTTCCTGTATATCTCAAAGCACTTTATGATAATATATTCACTTGCTATTAGAATATACAACACTATTATATAGCTGTCTATACATATATATTATGTAATAGTAAAAAAAGTGTCTCTATTATATATATATGTTAGTTAACAAACATGGACTGTGTAAAATCGGCGTAGTCATAAGCGTCCGGTATGGTACGTCCGGTTCGATCCACGTATGGTTTCATACGCCCTATACAATAGTCCGCTTGTTCTTTAGTGAGGTTCTGAAAATTAAATGAGAGAAAAATTCAAAACTAACATTTTGAAACAGTGTACATTTTGTAAGTATTTATATTTCCTTTTAATTTTGATTCTACTTTTTTTATAACCAGGCAAAGCAACAAGGGTTATCTGCCAAAAATACATATGAAAAGAAAACAACAGAGAGCAATACTTATGTCAAAACTGAACAAATCACAGATAAAATGTGCCTGCACACTTAGTGACAATACATTGTTCTATGATGAAATCCTAAGCCAATGGAGGTCTGACAGTATAAGAATAATATGAAATAGCGACAAGAAAATTAGTTTTAAGTAATTTCAACACTTTTAAGGTCATATGGTGGGCTTTCTGTATATTATGGTGCACAACAATCACAGTTACCCCTTCATAAATGACATATACAAATTCAAATGGCACATCAGCAGAAACATCGGCCTTCCGTAATTGTTACGTTAACTTTGTTATCCTAAGTAACTTACTTCATTATTCTAATGTACAACATATGAGCCGCGTCACGATAAAACCAACATTATGCGTTTGCGACCAGCATGGATCCAGACCAGCTTGTGCATCCAGGCAGTCTGATCAGGATCCATGCTGTTCGCTTACAAACCCTATAACAAGTAGAGAAACTGATAGCGAACAGCATGGATCCTGATCAGACTGCGCAAGCTGGTATGGATCCATGCTGATCGCAAACCCATTATGTTGGTTTTGTCATGATGCGCCTCATATAGGCGACACAGATTTATACTTACAGCATAAAGCTCTTGTGATGTAATAAATGGTTTTTCGCCGGAAGTTAGAGCTCGGAAAGCTTGTTCAACCTCCGAGCTCGATTGGACGTTCTCTGTCTCTCGGCTTATCATAAACGCCATGTACTCTTGAAGTGACACGTGTCCATCCCTACAACATAAAGAATTATATAATACACTTATATACTAATATATAACCTATCACCTATATATGATCAGTTTAGTTTAAACATTATTGGTGAAAAATATCTTCTTTAAAAATATAGAAAAATGGAATCTCCAAAGGACTTTCAAAACGTCGTAACTGATAATGTTGCAGGCTCGGTTACATTAATTAAACCAATCTCAAATTCGCTCCTGAAGCTAACTAGAACAAATGTCATATTAGGAAACATGGTTGTGACCCTTGAGGGTTTGAACCCATCTTGTTTCCTGAGTTGAGTGAAAGACAAATTAACCACAACTCAAATGCTCCCCTTCACCAATTGAGTATTGTAACAAACATTATTTCATAATTACTAGATGTATCAACTTAAAACACTGTCAATGAAAAGAACAAACAAAAAAACTTGACATGTTATAAAGAAAATTTACAAGTTACAAATGGCAGCCTAAAACTGCTATAAGCTGGTATAACCCAAGCCACTAGGCAAAAGTTATTTAGCAAACAACCATTTACACTAAATGCAGCCAATTTTTTAAAATTTTGATGACAATAAAAATTAATTTGTCAATATGTAGCATTTGAATACTAGTAATCATTTAAGAGTTTAATTTTATTTTATTGAACATTGTTTTCTACAGTATACATGTAGTTGAAATTATACCTGTTAGGATCAACCATGTCGAGAATGGCCTGGAACTCTGGGTCCACCTGTCCGTCTTCTACAACAGGAAGATCGTAACCGAGGGCTCGGAGACAAGACTTGAATTCCTGGTGGTCGAGCTTTCCGGACTTGTCCTTGTCAAAATGTCTGAAAGTTTAAATTTATAAATAAATTAATGAATTTCACAATATACTAAATGCACAGAAAGTAGCTTCCATCAGTCTGTGAGTTTCCTATGGTAAAACAAAGCTGAAAGTACGCAGCATTGCATTAAGATTGTTTAAGAAAGTTTTTTTTTAAATTTAAGTCTGTCATTGAAAGTTTTATCATTTAAAACAAAGAGTACATGTATTTTCTAAGTTTTGTGGGGAAAAGATAGTCCAAAACTTGGTAAATGTGGATTTTTTTAATCTAATTCAGGGGAATAATCTCTTTCAGTTACAAAATTGGTAAAGATATTCATAATATGCGTAACACAGTGATCACTCTATAATGAACTGTTGTACACTGTGAAGCTATAACTGTAAAAGTTTGTTTGTATCCCATATTAGTTAGACTGGATAAAACCTGCATTTACTGAGTTTCAGATAAAATCAATATTTTGCAAAAGTTTTCCAATGCATTTATTTCTTTCAATTACAAACCTGAATTTTCAGTTAAATACTTACTTAAACATCATGCTGAACTCTCGTAACGCGTCCTCTGACACGCCACTTCTGTTACGGGCTTGGATCTGTTGCTCAAGGTTGTGTTGCATTCTCATACCCAGCTGGTCAAGCTGATCCCACTGCTGCGCTAAACCAACCGTACTGTGCTCCGTGTACCTATAATGAACAATATATATATATATATACAATAACATACATGTATAATCTAAATCTGTATACATTGAAAAAATACTTTGATATTCTCACAAAACTTTTTAATTCATTTTTAATCTAATTCATAAAATCAAGACTTTATACCAGCTAAGTAGGCTACATATTAGTTATCTGCAACTCATAAATGAGCACCAATGACTGAACAGAGTCTATGGGCAAAAAGAAGAGAACAGTCTATGCATTTTAAGTAATAATTCACCTATTATCGAGAATAAGTCTCTCTTCCATGGCCGCACCAAGATCTTCAATACGCTTCAATTGTCCTTTCTGCGATCTCACTTCTACTGCCTTTTTCTGAAATAATACCAAACATATGGATGAAAAAATTCCTATTTTCACCCCCATTACTAAAGTAATTTGTTTTATTACTCACAATATAATTTAAACTGTTTAAAGTTCAATGTTGGCTTTATTGTATCAAATTTATGATATCTACTTAATTTTGTAAAAGAAACACATTTTTTTCAGCTAAGATGCTCTTCCAAACATTATTTCAGGCACAAATGGGCACTTAAGTAGAAACAATGACGTTCTAAGCATGTTGGATAGCTTCCAAACATGAAAGAATCCAAAGTCCCTGGCAGCATTTGAACCTGAAGTGGTGAGTTGCCATTTAATGCCCTAAACCACTTGGCCATGGACACCCTTAAGAAACACATGCAAAACCCTTAATAGCCAAATGTTAACTTATTCCTTTAAAGTTTTTTTGTATGAGGTTGAAAAGAAATCGAACAAGCTGTCCATTATTGAAACATAAATATACAGGCCTCTATAGGAAAAAAAATTTACTACATTTACAAATTACTACAGTGTTCAGTATTACAGTATTATTCCTATGCAAAATGCTAGGATACATTATAATTCATATTCTAGCACTTATTTTCTAACCAACTGTACATGATATTTCTTTCTCACTTTGATCTTTTTTAATTTGACACTTTAAAAAAAAAAAATGTTTTTCATCAATAGATGTTGATGGTGCCCCTTACCTTTGTTGCCTCCAACTGATCTTCTAATGTACCAGAACCTTCCATCATAGAAGCCCTGTAATTATACCAATATTAAGATTAAAAATCTTCCTATATTAATATTCCATATTTATCTAATTATCTATCACAAATATAATAAAACAAAGTTTTACATAATTTACAAAATACGGTGAATAAGAAAAAGCAAAAAATACCCAAATAAACATGAGAAATGAAAACAAATACAACGCAAAGAGTAAAAATTCACATGAAGCCTTCAAGTTTTCTAAATGGGCGTACTTAAAGTATGTCTTTGTTTAGCCTTACTTTCTTTTTTAAATGAGTTATCCTTATAAAAACTAAACTGGTCCTTAAGTTTTTGTGTTTACAAATCTTTAAAAAAAATATATATATAAAAAATATGCGCTTATTGTATCATAGGGTCTGATCGAACAAGTTACATGTATATAATTTAATTCAAACTTAAGAAATTACACATATTTTTTTTTTAAATTCTTTACTAGGTGCATATATATACTAAGTACATATAGAGAGAAACTCCATGCATAGAATCTATGTTCTAACTCAACAGTGTTTTAGTAGAGAAAACATGTTTCTCATATCACTTTTTTCAAATATTAGTGTCAAAAATTCTTAAAGCAATCTAATTTACATCTAGTAACAACCTTGCAAAAAAGGGGGTCAAAAATCTAAAACAACAAAATTGACTTATTATTATATACATGTAGCATTCTGAGATTTCCCATTCTTAATATATGGGGGTCACAGCAAATACTGCATGCCACCTCACATATTCAATTATTTTTATCCAATTACCATAATTATGTATGTTATATTTAGGAATGTTTTTTTTTGTTGTTTTTTTTTCATTTTGCATGAGTTACAGACAATTCAAAAAGGAAGTCCTTAACAGGTTGCTTTATTTGAGAGTATTCCTGTCTTTACATGAAAGTCTTTTTAATTACATTATTACATGAACTATCTATAATAACTGTTCCAATAATAAAGTATTCCATTCTAAGAGGAACATAAAATCCACCTAATAAACTTTTTATCCTTAATTATTGTGGAAAAAAACTCCCAGCTGAAATTCATAACCTTGTATATGATATGGATTAAGTTAGTAAAGAAAATTACTTCTATATTTCAGATGTGTCACGACAAAACCAACATAATGGGTTTGCGACCAGCATGGATCCAGACCAGCCTGCGCATCCGCGCAGTCTGATCAGGATCCATGCTGTTCGCTATCGATTTCTCTACTTGTTATAGAGTTTGTAAGCGAACAGCATGGATCCTGATCAGACTGCGCGGATGCGCAGGCTGGTCTGGATCCATGCTGGTCGCAAACGCACTATGTTGGTTTTGTCGTGACACGGCTCATTTATCATTCAACATGTTTGGAATCAACTATCAATGCTGCCTTCATGCAGAAACTGTCTTGCTGAGCTAATACTGAAGTCGGAAGCTTTCTGACTTTATCGTCACATTCAAAGACCTAAATTCAGGTGTGACAACTCTTTGGCATCGTACACATGAAAAATTCAGTGAAATTTTTTTTTCAACAGTTTAAAACATTATCTGTTCAAGTTTAATGGTAAATAACTTTGCTTGTGGCTCATTTAAACACCTAGCAGTTTCTCTTCTTTGACCCGATCAGAACTGGTGTCTTGACCAAACATGGTAGAGACTCCTAGTAGGTGTAAAATTCTAACTCCCTGGGATGAGAGGCATACATGACACCTGCAACCCTAGAGTAACAGTCCTCTTTTACTTTCTTAACTGTATTAATTTCAATAAATCCTAACATGTGCTGAATTAACCATGGACTGGTTCTAAATCCAACAGAAATTAAACTGGACTGGTTCTAAATCCAACAGAAATTTAACTGATTGCAGCACTTGAATGACATTCTAGAGTCCTATCAGACATTACAGATATGCGGACTGGCATGGTGCTGCACTGATGGCATAGATCTGATATTATTGCCACACAGACCACAAAAGGCACAAAGAATTTCCCATATATGTACGATGCCAAGACAATATTTGAGTTGGTCACCTCGTTTCAAGCAGAAAGCCTAATAATTCATAGCATCATATACAGCCAAAGAATGTCCTTGAAAGAACTAAGGGGTATGTATGTATATATAGAGAGAGAGAAACAGGGTTCGGCAGCTCCGCAAACTGAAATCATGAGGATGCATTTAAATCATAAATCAACTAAACAACACTCAATTCATCATCAGTTACAGACAAGAGCTTTACAGCAATATACAAAATCATAAACGTTCAAGCTTTTGACTGCCCGGAGTAAATGCCAAATAGTGCTTTAAATGTTGATAATGCTTGACAAAATGTTTGAAATATTTTGGAAATGTGTAATGTACTGTTATGGAACTGATCATTATCTTTTTATTGAACTCAGATAAAGGAAACAGTTAGCCAAAGTTTGGCAAATTTACAGGTATTTATCATAATTAAACAATTAAATAAAAAAAAATTTAATAATGTATTCTACGATTGCTATATCTTCAAAGAAAAAGATAGAAAACAGTGGATGTTCATTCATTGTATTATAACAGATGCCTAAGGAAATTTGGCACTTATGTCCAAGTTTATGCTATTTTTCTATAAAACACTTGTCTGTCAAATAGACCAATCAGAATCATTGTCTCTGAATCATGCTTAAAGAGTATTATCACTGATATTAACCCTCCATCCAACAGCCACATCCTGTAAATTAAACACAATTATACAATATGTAATATATTGCACACTTCTCTTATATTACAATATACAGCCGAAGATTCTAGCCAAAACTTCTAATCAAAGATGAGTTGTATTTAGCGTAGTGACTTTGATAATCAAATTTAAAAACATGGAATGGTTTCAGCAGATTTTATCATGTGTACCAATCAGTTTTCTTGTCCATTCAGTTCTTTTAGACAAATTTAAGCTGGTTTTAGTATCTCACTTACATAACTATATCAAACAGCTGAATCCATATGGAGGATGTACAACCATATGTATTAAAATTGTGGGTAAAAACTGTACCTTTAAAGAAATAGTTTGAATTTCACATTGTAAATGTAAATTTTTAACCAAACAGTAAAGGGTTTTCATAATAAACAGATTGGCAATCCATATCATCAATTGAAATGCTGTTAAAATTGATGGTATTTTCTGGCCAGTAGATTTATCTATCCACTTGAACCCTCTGCCAAATCGGATAATAATGAAAACCCAGTAAATGGATGCTTTTCTTCCCTGTCTTGATTTTGATTTTCTGGTTATGGGCATCATTTTAACACATAGCATCATGTAATATATTACTGACCTAGTTTCTGTTAGCCAGGCATGGAAAGCGTTGGCAGCCTGGGCAAACTGTTTACGAAGCTGATCATTCTCCTCTTGTCTCTGTTGTTCATTGGCCAGGTCCACATCTCTTTCCTGTTATATAAAATAGTAACAATTTAACCAAATAGTTTCTTCTGTTACTTTATATCATTTTTAAAATCTTGAAACATTATTTTACAAACATCTATACATATATCTATATTGTCACCGTATGCTTTCTAAATAGTTTTTGACACAGAAATATTAAAAGTCTCTGAAAGACAATTGACCAACCTTAATGATTTTCTGCAGGTTATTCCATGTGTCCTGCAAGGCCTCCATTGTAAACCAGGTATAGGGGTTTGGTCCTACATTGAAGCTCTTGATTTCTTTATCAAGGGCAGCTAGTTGGTTAAAGTCAGCCTGTGCCGCCGACAGCGAGGCCTTGAACTGCTCGTGGTTCTCACGCAGATGTCGTATCTCCTCTACCGAATTACATCTTACGGGGTCGGTCAAGTCTTCCTCGGCATTCTCAAACCATGAGTTGAAGGCCGAGGCTTTCTTAGCGAAAGCTAGGTAGAGGTCTTCGATCTGCCTGTACTGGTCTTGTAGACGTAACAATGTCTGTTTACGTTGCTCAGAGTCGGACAGTAGATTCTGCCATCTGTAATCACATTATAAATCATTAGATCTTATTATTCCTAGGTGTTTTTGTTTGGGTTTTACATTGCACCAACACAGTATAGGACATTCCAGATTTACTGGTTGAGAAAGACCTTAACTTCCCTTCTATGCATTATTTCAGACAAAAACAGGCATGTGAATAGAACCACCAACAGTCCATAAGCTAGCTGGATAGCTTCTTCACACAAACTAATGCAAAGTCCATGTTGGGATTCCAACCCCGATGGTGAGGGGCAAGCGTTTTGAAGTAAACGACCTGAATCACACAGCCACAGACAATAATAAGAACTAATTATATCAATAAATTGACTACCATCATTCTGTTCAGAAAAATGACATTAACTCATCATTTCACATTAAATTATTTTGATTGCCTTAAATACTCAATTTCTTTAAATATTTACTGATAAAACAACCTATAGATAATAAATGAGGTAAGGGTATTCAAGGGACAACAACAGCCTTACACAACGACATCTGTACAATGCACTAGCCCTGTTTTGAAGCTGGAAAAACTATCAATCGTTACTTACAGAATTTTGCTATATTAAATATATAATATTGAGTAAACTATTACAATGAATGCTGTGTTTAATCAGACTGCACAGATTTGAGGTTCGCCATATCAGACAATTTTCAATATAAGTCTTTTGTTTTCAATGCTTCCGAAGAACCTCTGTTTCCAGTTTTTTTGTCTAAATTTATACTGGTGGCAGACTACTATCGAGAATATCATTCACACACTTCACACATATTTCAGTTTAGGACCTGAACCTAGACACTAGAACAGGTATAAGACTTTACCTTGTCATCACATCATTGTATCGTTTCTCTATGGCAGGAGTCTGAGCATGTTTCGATGCTATCAGCTGATCTTTCAATGCCGTGATTGTCTGTATACCTTCCTTCTCAAATGCTTGTAGACCAGCATCGAAAGTGTCCTAAAATACACCACCATACATTATAGTCTTAATGAATGCTAAACACATCACCATAAATTACTTTCTGAAGGGATGATATCATTATTTCTTAACCCTTAACCTGCCGAGTTTCTTAAATGGATTTATAAAGCTACAATTTTTCTTTTAAGCTATTCATTTCAAAGAAATTTTATGGATATCAGGATGAAAATTTGAAGTTGATCAGCCAACAGAAGAAATGCCTTGTCACATTGCATGGATTTGCAGGCTGGTCTGGCTCTATACCAGTAGCAAAGACTAATCATTTTCGGTTCAAGCAGGTTAAAGGATAAAATGTATCTTCAGACAATTTGAATATACATTTCAAAACGGACAATACACGGATATTTACTGACATGCATCACTTGTAATATACATTGTATGCTATACATTTATAACATATTTATCAGCAGATGTTAAACAGATGAAGATACGTAGTTAGTTTATCAGTTGATTGAAAAGATATGTTAATGATGATCCCATTAAGAAATGAAAAATATATACCTCAAAAGGTAATATTATTGCAGTGACATAACAATGACAACATGTTAATGAATTTAAATAAATTTAAATACATAGTTGTTACCATTAATGCCAATGCAAATAAAAGATATAAGCAAAACAGATTTATTCAATATGTTGGGGATTTTGTTTGTTGGGTTTAAGTCACACCAAAACAGTGGTCATATGGGGACTTTTCAAGGTTTACATGCGGAGGAAGACCTAATGTGCCCCTCTGTGCATTATTTCAGGCACAAGGGGGCATCCGAGTAGCATTAAATATGTAATTTGTTCAATGCTCAGATGTGACTTATCAAACCAGTGAATTCTAATTTCATTCAAACAGTGATATAATATAAGGTAGGTTATCTCTATGTAAGATATACATACTTTAAAATTATTTGATAAATGTAACACATGCAATATTGAAGTGTATAAATGGAAATGAATATACAGTCCAACCCCGATTATTCGAAGTGCCTGGGACTGAATATTTACTTCGAATAATCGATGGGTTCGAATAATCGAAATCGAAATATTGTGATAGACGAAAACTACTCCACTTTGACAAATCATCGCAAAACTACCGTTTACAACACACTTGCTTCCTGTAATCAATTGAGAAAAATAAATATTTAAGAAAAGATGCGTAAAAATTATTGTATTGACATTGAAGACATAAATACTTACATTTTATTTTACATTATGTATCGTTTCGTTTCGCGCAAAGCCTTGATAATGGCCGTGTCGTCACTACGGTATTTACAGCTAAACGATTAGGATAAATTAAGGATCTCATGTAGCGTTGCAATTAATGAAAAAATGTTTTGCATGTTTTGACAAATTCACATATACGGATTGTATAAAAATTATTGCTGTCATCTTCAACAAAATCGGACACGGTGCATAGCTTTTCATTTTCGGTAATTAAAGTTGATTAAAGAACACACAAAGAGTTATTATCCTGATTGTCTAATTACACGCATGACTGTGGATATTTTTCACAAGTCGACTGGTCAGCGAGTGGATCTGCGCCAATTAGTCTGGCTTCGAATAATAATTAGGCTGGCTTCGAATAATAGGTGTGAAATTCTTTCATAATTGTATAATCGGGACAGAAATTTTACTTCGAAAAATAGGAGGTATTCGGATAATGAATTTCGAATAATACGCTCGTATTTATATTGTTTTATACAGAGATAAAAACGGGACCGCCGATCTACTTCGGATAATGCCGGGTATTCGAATAAAGGGTTGTCGAATAACCTGGGTCGGACTGTATGTATATCAAAATGGAAAACATAATGGTGATGGAATAAAATGTTACAGAAATGGTGGGAAATAAAAAGATTTCAAAGTTAACCTTGCAACAGATAAAAGAGATGCTTGTTTTGGTGGATTTTGAAGTAACACTGGAACTGTAAAGGTGATATAACAGACCTTTTTCCCAAGCACAAACTAGCACCCAAGAAGAACCCTTCAAAAAGTTAGCTCACATGAAAAAAATCTTTTTTTTTATGTGGTTCAAACTCACAGGTGGGAATTTAAAATTCTTCATGTGGTTCAAACCAGCAGCTGTGAGGGGCATGTAATTTGAGATCCAAGACATTAGCCACAAAAGGCCTGCTTTAAATACTGCCAATAATCAGAGGCCCAGGTTGTCCACACATTTTTTACACCCTGTGACACACAAGTAATATAAAAATCTCCAATCAGGGACAAAATAATCAAAGTCGTAAAATAGGTAAATTGGATGTATAAATAAATGTGTTTTAATAAAATAAGGGTATGATAATGTAATATGTGTGGAATAATGTCATAAATATATCATAAATGTCGAAGTGGTTTGGAAATGGTGGGAAAGGTCTACCTTTTTTGATAACAACAAACTGGATATAGATGTACGAAGACGTGCCTAAAAACATTCATGCTTGTCTCATAAATAACACAAATATATTGTTACAGCAGAAACGAAACATGTTAACTGGAAATGAAATGTTAAAGCATAAATAAAACACGTTAATTGGAAATGAATTGTTAAAAGCATAAATTAAACATGTTAATTGAAACAGGTAGCTGCAGAAATAATGAATGTGTGAAATCATTATTTTTGGTATTAAAATCATAGATTTCACTGTTATAAAAAAAGTTCATAATCTCATAGGAAGATCTCTGATTTTATTAAATTTACATACAATAATTGTAGAGGGCTTAAAGAATATTGAAACTTTGATCAGAAAAGTTAATATCCATAAAGATTTCATATCAACAATTGTAATTCAAAATAGTCAAATTTAATGCAAAACAATGAAGTATACTGGTTTTCTATGACTTGTAACTTGAATGTGCTTTTGTATATACCGATGTCAATGATAACATAATTAATATATTTCAACTGGATAAATTACATTTAAGTAACTTAGTAAGAAATCGTTTTAAGACGGCAATTACTTATTCTCAAAATATGACGGAAACTGATTCGGAGTACAAACCTTTGATTTAAACTCAAGTCTTATCTTTCAAACATGCATAACCTTTGTCCCTACAGGAATTGAATGTTTGTATACAAAATTAAAATGTTTCATATCATACAAACACTAGAATAGCCATTCAGCCTCATAGCCATTGAACGGAGATTTGAACCCTCAGAACAGAGGTGGGTCAAAGCTCTATTACAGCCAATATAGATTTAATGCTTTTAATTCAACAAGACAACATGTTTTCCAATCATCATGAAATCTCTCTCCAGTTTTTCATATAAACAGAGCTACAACAAATATTTTCGAGGAGATTAATTGTTACCTGTTTGGTAAGAAGGGTCTGTACAGATGAAAGGTCACGACCATAGTCATCAGAGCGGACCTGGTTCTCTTTGTCTGCGATCCAGCTCTCAACAACATCCGTCTTCCAGATAAACTGTAGGAAAGCCGAGTTGTCAATCAAACCAGCTTTACGGAGAGCTGCGGCTTCATCAAGGGCAGACAACTTGTCTTGTAGTCCCTGGTTACGCTGGGAGATACTGTCCTTGTTGTGGTTGCCCTGCGATACAAATAAACAACAATAAAATTAGATACTGCAAAATCATAATTATTCGATGGTGTACTAATTTTTCGTATTTCTGTGAATACATCAATCAACAAATTTATGATCCAACAAAATTTCATTTTGTCTGCTTAAGTTTTTTTTGCATCATGTTGTTTACATTTTGCCTTTTGGAAAAATTTAAGAACACACAAAAATGTTCTTTTAGACGACCCACTAAATTTCAGGCTCACGAAATTAAGTAAATTGACAGTCCAGTCAAAACATATTATTAATAGTTTTTTTTTATATAACAAGAGCTCCTACATAACCCATTTGACTTGAAACAACAAAATTAAATTCAAAAGAGGAAAAATTGATGGATTTTTACCGTACTAAGCATTCATTTAGACATATTATTTATCTTATGTATACATTTCTTTACCTCAGCAATAAGTTTTTCTCCCTCTTTCTGTACTTCCTGGCATCTCTCTCTATGGACCTGGAAATCTGTCTCAAACACTTCATGTTTCTTTAACAAACCCTGAAATAATGTAACAAATAACTGTTTAAATATATGTATTTGCTTTTCTGCATCTGCTTTTTATTCGTACCTTTTACTTAAGATATTCAACTTTTATCATACATATACATAACTGTAAAGATTATTTTTAAAGACAGTGCTAGTGCCAACATCAAAAGAATACATATATAATTATAAACTGCATGTAAAAATGCCCAAACATATAAACCTTCCATTATTTTGTCAGTCTAAGGATGTACATCAGGACAATGTGACAGACGAACAAACATAATTATGTGCCTCTCTCTCACCACTTAATTAAGTAGTAGAGGCCAAAAAAATATATTAAAACTTCTCAAGAAAATCATCAACTTAAACAACAATAATGTGGGGGTGGGGTAAAAAAATTATGTATCACTAACTTGTACAGCTGCCATGGTATCACCCAGATCACCACCAGACAGGAGGCGTTGTTTCTCAGATATCCAAGCTTCTTCTTCATCAACGTTAGCACTGAACTGCTGGAAGGCATACGATTCTTCCAACATCAGTCCTCTGTGACAAACAAAAACAGTTATAGTTTTATATCTACTTTTTCAGCATAACATTTGTTTAATACTATTACAGCATAATTAATTATAGTTTTGTTTTGTTTTTTTCCTGTAAGGTTTTAAGTCGCTTCAACACAGTGATGGTCATATGACATTTTTCAAGCTCTACCAGAGAACTCTGGCAAGATTGGACCCATATATTATTTTGGTGTGTATATTGGACCATTGTCTGATAAAAGCATTTTTTTATCATCATTTAGTACAATGCACAATAAATGAGTAGATTAAATTTCATATTGTACCTTCGTTCAGCCATCTGTTTGAGCTCGTCCCAGCTCTTGGCAAGTTGTTCTAGTCGGTTCTGTATATCATCAGTGTTGATGTCAGACTCCCCAATCAGCTTAGCTCCTGTCTCTTGTACAGCCTAAAAATATATACACCATATATGTATTTTGTTTGTTTGGTTTTACAGCGCACCAACACAATAAGGATCATATGGTGCCGAAACAGGAAAGATGACTTCGCCTAGCTCATGTTTTACAAACTTAATGCAACACAAGGCATCAAGAGATGCACAGACTCCAGTTATTCGCACCCTTATTGTGTCAGCATTGACTTCAAAAAGTGAAATTTTCAGAAATGACCAAATCGAAGCTATGTAATGGGTCTTTTAATTTCTTTGATATTGAGTTTTTATCACTATAATTTAGTACAAAACAATTACATCTTCTTGTTTGTTTAATTTCAGTTAGAACTGTGACAAAATTATTTAAGTGTACCCACCTGAATGGCCGGTTCATGACTGGTAAGCTCAGCGTCTAGACGTTTGTGTTTTTTACGTAGATTCTGCACGCCAGTCAAATCCTTCCCATAATCCTCAGATCCTACAAGCAACTTTTTCTCCCTGTAAAACAAAAATAGACATGCAATAAAAATAAACTGTCAGCACCAAAAATGGACAAATTTATCTATAAAATTTACCCTTTGACACTAACAATCTTGTACAACTGTCCTAACTTGGATCTGAACAGAACTAAACATATCCATTGTTAATTTCTTTAAGGTATACTACTATACTCATCTTTGGGTAAAATACTTTCAAAATTTATTGAAATCTAGTAAATTCCCCGAGTATGTTTAATTTGAATAAGTGAATTTATAAACTATGTTTGGGAAGCTGCATTCCCTATTGCTTGTCAAAACAATTTGGTCTGTTCTTATAAAAACTGACAGTTGTATTTCTTTAATGACACTATGTAATCATATTGTGATTACCTGTAGAGTGTAAATAACGAAGCGTATTTTTCCTGTGTGTATTCAAAAGATTTTTTTTCTATATGTTTCAAAAAATACGTGTTCCATGATGCGAACTTGATAATTAATCAGTGGTAACATTAACCAGGTTTTGTCAAAACTTTTATGGAACATTGTCATCATAATTATAATAGATCTAATATATGAATAATTTATAATAATTATACTAATATATCAATAATGTATAATAATTTTTATAATAAAATTCTCTTTTCCATCAAATAAATTTCATGAGGTAATTAGTTTTCACATGACTCTCTAAGATTACCATATACATTTATAGAACAGTATATATGATTTTCAAATGGAAACAAGTAATCATGCATACATTTTAGAAAAAGTTTATACACTGCCATGGCGGCATTTTTTTATTAGAATTATTTATGCTAAAATTAAGGCATAGCAAATACAATAGACTAATGCCAAATATCAGAAGTATATAAGAAAGAAAATATGTCTTGCTTTGGCAAAGAGAATTTGACTATTATGTTGGCAAGCATTTATACAAATCAGAAATTATTCAATTCTTTAAATGATTTTAGAAAACAATTCTGAAATAAAGTACAGTATATCAGCCTATTATTTTCAAATAGCTTTTGAAATAACATATATATACATATATATACATAAACAATTGTACACACAAGAACTGTGATGTTTAAGTTTGATTTGGCAAATAAAGTTTCAGAAACTATCCAAGGCTATTGAAGTAAGATAAAGGGAAAGAAAGAAATTAATGAGTTCAAAGTTCTCCTTTTCTTAATAAAATAGTCAGAATAATCAATCAAAATGCAAATTTTTACAGTTTTTTTAAATGCAAATTTTTACAGTTTTTTGTCTTACAATTAGTTTACCTACCGATCGGGGTCTCCCATATACCCTGGAAAGCTGCACAAACATTTGGTAATTAATAATATTATGCTTTGCTGCAAAGTACTTTAATTCATGTGTGCAAAATAATATATCAGAAAACCTAGAAACCCTGAATTAGGCATTATTTTGATTGGTTTTTTATAGAAAAAGGCTGCTTTTAGGAGAATTAAAAAACTTTAACTTCAGACATATGCCTGAAAACTGGTTCCCGTGCTTTAATTTCATTGCGGAGTACTTTTTAAGTAGGTATCAACTATTTGTGTAATTTCATCTGCATACGGAGCTTTGCAACTGCCATAAACAGTATAAAATAGGAAAATGGCATACTAGGAAAATTGTAAGCTTTTACTACAAACTGGTGTTCAAACCATTTACACTAACCGGTTTTCATTGTAAGGTTCTAATCTGAAACTATTTTATAGCATTGGTGTTAGATAAATGGTGTTAGACCAAACTGTCACAGAAAAACATCACTTCTGTAAGGGCTAAATTTCATAAACTCCAACCCCATGGGACCAAAACTTTTCAGAAAATAGCTAACTTGTTACGTCCTTATCTGTATCCCATAGGACCAAAACTTTACAGAATATTGCTAACCTGATAAGCCCCTACAAATATCCCATAGAACCAAAACTTTTCGGAAAATAGCTAAACAGATAGACCTCCACCTATTAAACTATTTTTTGACTGGTGCTAATTGTTTAAGATAAAATCTGTCTGTGAAACAGCAGTTAAAAATAAAATTCATTGTTAGTAAATATAATGTAAATTTAAACTTTTTTTGTATTCTTACTTGATCCAAGCCTCCTCGTCATCAATGTCTCTCAGGAACTGATGCATCGTGTTAGCTTCGTTCAATCTTGTCTTACGTACAATAGCCAACTCCTTGATCCTGAAATATAACGTGTCTCCTTTAAAATCTTGTATATGTTCACTTTCATTTGAAGTACAATAATTTATTATGTATCAATTGTTTTTATTTTCTTACAAAAGACTTTGATTTTTCTATAATGCTAAACTTGGAAGTTGGTATGGTCAATATCTGTGATGAATTTTCTATTCCAATTCCTGTAATATATTTTTCACTACAATTAAACAAAGGAAAATTTCTACGACAAAAATAAAACTGCCATACTTACTTCTCGTATCTTTCATTGATTGTTCGCTTCCTGACCTCAATGCTTTCAGCGTCCCACACTCCACTCTCTATGAACTGATCAGCCTGGGAGTTCAGGTCCTTGATTCGATCCTCGTGGGCGGCAATATCGGCCTCCAGCAACTGGTGCTTCTTGGACAGGTTCTGGACCGAGGCAAGATCCTTGCCATACTCCTCGGAAGCCAACATTTGTTCAACCTAGAATAACCAAAATAAATATGCTAAAAATAACGACATACAAGTCTTTACTTTTAAGCTTTATTTAACACATTAAGCTAAGCTTCCACAGAGAAATAAAGGTAAAAGATACCACACCATCACTTGATAAACATTATGTCTGCTGTTTATCCTTTTTTCTCAAAGATAAAATGAAGAATATGACACTTTTCTCATTACAATATCTTTGTTACAATATCTTTGTATTACCAGAGGTTTTCAATAACTGCATAATCCTAAACAAATTGACTAAAACTTGACCAAATCTATACAAACCATTTTCAATATTATAATTAGCAGTAAAGTTTTCATATCATCAGATATTATTTCATAAATTCCTTAAAGCTGCATGCCTCCAGATAAGCCAAAATATTTCAAGAAAAATAAACTTAAGAAAAATGTTCTAAAATTTTAAGATCATTAGAAATATTCAAGATTCAAGTAATAATGTACATTTTATGTGCTTAAAATGATTGATTTTCAGAATTTATTACCAAATTTCTACTGCGTTACTAACGCAGTAAGGGTCAATTTTGCATAATTTGGCCTCTTTTCAGTAATTTATGTGGATTGTTAGCGTCGTTTGCAATGTGTTAATTACTTTCCTTGTTATTTTCACACATTTCACTTTTTAAGTACTTTTTAAAATTTTCATGAAAATAAGCATTAATCTGGATGCGTGCTGCTTTAATCTTCATCAGCATATATGGAAATTTCTAGGGCACAATCTTCATAAGTATGCAGATTATTAAATGTACAGTCATGTCATGTAATGACAATTTTGAAAATGCTATATGTTCAATACACAACTTGGCATTGCAGATGAAATTTGAGCAAATTGCTAACTGTTATATAAAATGACAAGGCAGGGAGTTTAACCTGCAACAATACAAAGACAGACCCTAACTATGGCGCATCTCGACAAATTTATAAGAAATACAAAGACTTTACTCGTACCTCGCCTAGCCAGAATTCAATGTCCTTAACTCCAGCATTGTAAGTCTGTTGTCTACTGGCCTCCTTTAGTTTATCACTCTTTTCAGCAGACTTGGCTACCAGGGTCTCCCACTGAGAAGCAAGACTTTCTAGACGTGCCTGCACAGCCTCCTCTGACCCAGCGCATTGTTTCTGGTCAATCAATGCTGAAAAATTTCAAACAATTCACCAGTCAGTAAAACATTTCCCCAATAACTAAAAAATCTAAGAGAAAATTATTTCTATAACCGAACTTGCTAATAAGGGCATACTTTTAAACAAGATTCAACTTTTTCAAAATATTTCTAACTGGTACTGGTAGTCAATAGTGAATCAACACAAAACTTGGATTTAAAAACATTTGGTGATATTTCACAACAAATCCTAATTTCATTAAGGATAATATTTCAAGTCAGGGACAAATACCATTTACTAATGTATAATATTAATACATTAATTTATACAAATCTATTTTTACTTTGAATGTGTAGGAAGCTATAAGCTTATTGAAACAGTCTCAAATCCATTCCTGGAACCATCCTAAATTATACTATTATCACATCACATTCAGGTGAAAGGAAAGTACAGATTTATTCATACCTTGTCCAGTGGCTAGAAGAGCCTGAAGTCTGTCAGCATTGGCAGCCAGTTCTGCTTCAAATCCTTGATGCTTCTGATGCTTACTCTGTTAAAAAATAAAAACAGAATTATCTTTTAAACTAAATAGCATGCATGTTACAAGGCCATTAGAAACTTTCTTCTACATTGCAAATTACATGTATCACAAACTAGATTTTTACAGTTTCAGCCCTTATTTCAGTTAAGTCTCTTTAAGTTAAAAAACAAAAAAAACAAAGCTGTTTTACTGATTTTAACAGCATTTTAACCTATCAACCAATTTAAACAGCATTTCTACCTTTGGTTTGGATTGCCAATTTGTTAATAATGAAAACCCTGCTCAACTCATACACAAAACGTTTATTGAAAGCTATACCTGAATGTTAGCAGGATCTTTGTACGACTCGTCACTAGCGATCTGAAGTTTCTCCTGTAGCCAATTCTCCATCTCGTCAGCATCTCTAGAGAACTGTTGGAGGGTCTGAGCCTCGCCAAGCTTCGAACGGTTGTCAATAAGAGCGTCTTTCAAGTTAGTCCATCTGTTTTTTAATAATTAAATTTTAAAGATTTAGTTTATCAGTTAATTAGTTTGATACAAATTATTTAGTATATTCATATAACAATTAAGAATATATTGCAATAAGTACTTCATTTATAATGGAATCAGTAGAAAAATGGTAGATTATAGATAACCTGACTACAAAGTGTTCAGTAACATCTTACAATAACTTTCAATTCTATTCCAATAAGTACTTTATATATGATGGAATCAGTACCAGAATTGGTTAAAAAAAATTCTCACATTTTACATGGTGTACCTATATACAAAATTTTAAATCTCTTCCATCCGTATTCTTATTGAAGAATCTCACTTAATTTCATTGTTACACAGTTTTGAATATAATTTCAACAATTCAGTTCACATTCCCAAGATCAAGCTTTAATATACAATCATTTAATCAAGACAGCTGTTGATACTGGAAACTTTCAACTATTCCTATGAATTTCCAAGTAAGCAGCTCAATTAAACAAACAGCTTTTGAAATACAGAAGATATGTAAATAATAAAGGGAAGTAATTCACCTGTCAAGCACGGCATCACGTTTGTCTTCAATGGCTTGGGCATCATAATGTTCTCCACCAATCAACTGGTCAGCAAACACCTGCAACGCCTGTATCTTCTCTTGCTGTAATAGATTAAACAATGTCTCCATATAACTAATATACAATATGCACCACTGTTTGTATAATAAATCTTAGTCATATGTAGACTTTAAAGCAACAAGTCATTTGGAAAGAAACTAATTATTCTATTCAAAGTCTAACGGACATGAATTATGTATACACAATTTGATAGTTTTCATTTCCCTGTATAGGAAATAACATGTTTTCACCAAGAATGTTTTTCAGAACAGTTTTACTTTGTCCTTAATTGGAATGACAAAATAGAATTATTTTCTTTTACAATTCAACAATACTTTCAAATGCTTAAAAAATTTGTCATTAAATTTGATTCATATCTATGCAGAAAATTAGTTTTTTTTTATCACACCCCTATTCAACATGCTTCAACTATAAACCCTAACTAATGGTGTAAGATGGCTCAGTGGTAAAGGTGTCTGCTTCTCAATCCAGGGATTGTGGGTTCGAACCGTATTACAGTCCAAACCATACTTCCTTATAAGACACCAGTACGGGTGAGTTTTATGAAGCTGGTGTTGGACTCAGAAAAGGTTTAAAGATCCTCTAAGCTTTCAACATAAACCCGCTAAAATAACTATATCTAAAATTAAACCAACCTGGCTGCTAATAGCTCTATCAAAGTCCTCGTGCTTCTTGATCAGTGACTCCACGTTATCACCGTCCACCTGGTCACCTGACAGGAACGCCTCTCTAGATGCCATCCAGTACTCGGCCTGCTCACAGTCACGATAAAACAACTGTAACTCTAAACACTGATCTAACTTCATACGTCTCTGTATCCATGCCCTGAAAACATTAACAGAATGTGAGAGCAAATTTTCAACCAGTAAATAATGTATGATTTAATATTATACAGTAAAACCTCGGTTTCTTTTATCTAACTGGTTTACGTTGAATTTTAATGATTCTTATGTAAGCATTATAAAGAATGTCCTCTGAAAAGGTGACCAATAAAAAATATTTATTCCAAACTTATAAATTACCAAAAATATGTTATCCTGACCAAGTCAATATGAATAACTTGGTCTTATTCTAAAAATACTTTACGCCTCAAAAAATCCATATTTATAAAAAAAATTAAATATATCAAACATGTGTTAAATAATGTTTTAATGAGGCATACTGGAGCTAAAAAAATCATATTTTTTTCAGAAACTTTGCAATCTTTATAGCAGAATTATAAATCAAAGAAATAAGAATATCTAAAACTATATAACTTACTGTTCTAATTCTTCTCTGGCCACGGCAAGTTCTTCAAGCCTTGTCTTCACATCTTCACTAGCATAATGCGAGTTGTGCAACAACTGCTGGCCGAACGTTTCAAATGCTTGGAACGTACCAGACCGCGCATCAATCTCCGTACGATGCTCCTACAATACGCAAATATTTGGATTAGCGAAAACATTTATATTTCCTTAAGTCGTTTAAGCCATTACCTTAAATGTGCCTAACCACACAGACAAATTTGAAAGCACTACAATATACATTTAAATCAAGGAGTAGGCTGGATTTTACAGGGAAAGAACACAATAAAGGGCATGTATTGCAGTTTCTTGTCAAATAACATCAATTATAACTACAAAAGATTGTTCCTGTCAAAAGAACTGGTATCACTTAATGCTTCAAGTGTAAGTAAAGCTATGTAGATACTTCAGCACTGATACTATAATCATCATATTTAAACTAAACTAACCATAACTATTTTTCCAATTTCTAAAAACAATAGTTAATTTATGAAAACAATATTAAGCTGGTAATGGGTCACTGAGTACAATATAACTATCCAAAGTCATTGCCACACATCAATATTGGATTGACGTGAGTGAGTTTCATATAAGCTTTAAGCTTTCTACTCAATCCTGGATGCAATATATGTATGGAAATTTTGTTTAAAAACAGAAGATGAAATAGATATTGTTTAAAACCAATATTGGATTGCAACCAAAAATTTGTATACAAAAATTAACCAATAAATATTGTGCTACAACTTCAATAATTCTTAATCACTTAAAACCTTCACAATAATTTATAAACATTATAAAATTGGATGCACATTACATTGTCAGTTTTTAATTCTTTAAAGGTATCAAGTCCACTGCAAACCCATGCAAATTCATTTAATATGGCAAATTACAAGATAGTTTGATATATATATATATAAAATCAATCATTGTATAAGTTTAACTATACTAAAACCTTGCAAATATTTCATTATCTTGTCTATTAGAACAACATAAAAGAGTATTTTGTATAATACAAATATGATATATATAATCTACTGCACGGATCTCTGTTAGCTGCAATAAGATATCAGTTAGTGATATATAAAGGACAAAATGCAGGCCGCATAGTCAAGTGAACAAATGTACCTGTGAAAAACCTGCAAAAAAAGTACTGTAAGTGTCTCAGTTTAATAAGTAATACCCAATTATATTCTGATAATGCATGTACAATGAATTGTCCTGTCAAACTGTGATTTATCAAAAACAGGTCTAAAGTTACAATACTAAAACTCTAACCCCTGAATGTCTTCAATGAACTAGTCTTCTTTTTATTTTTTGGAATTGAACTTTGGAAATTTCAAGGATTTCCAAAACTGAACTTTGGAAATTTCAAAGATTTCCAATGTAAAAACATAGAATTGTTTGTTTGTTTGTTTGTTTCATTTTACGCCTATTCCCAACAGTATTTCAGTCATATAGGCGGGTAGTTTCCTAACCATCGTTCCTGGAGAGTTACACCAGTACTAGACTACCTTCCTCCGTAAAAACATAGAATTAAGCGGCCATCAAAACACAGTCAAGTCAGCCTATAATCTAGAGCAAGCTAGTAATTCTGTACCTGCTCTATATGGGTGACAGATGCTTATTTAATAGTATTATCATGGTAATGCTCAAAGGGCAAACGGCTCATAAAGGATCTTAGGTTCAAGCCCTACTGGAGAAACTACCATGTTTCTTTATACATGTATGATATTGATACTAAAAGTTTTCAGAAACAGATTCAACTGAGTTTCAAGCAAGTTTCTTTTCACAAACAAACTTTCAAAATTATATCGACTGATCTCCGAAAAAAGTCGAACCAATGAAAACATGCATAATACATGTACATAATGTTTAAACTAAAGTTTTATATTTAGGAAATAGATATCAATTCTGAGTGCATTGTTGTAGAATAATGCACGGTTTGAGTTCAAATGCGTAGTAATATAATCACGAAGGCCGATAGGCCTGAGTGATTAATTACAAAGCATTTGAACGAAAAACGTGCATTATTGTACAATAATGCACGAAGAATTAATATCTATTTCCATTCTAACACGTCAAGAAAAAAAAAATTATTATTATAAAGTTGGACTTTATGTTTGGCGGTTAAATTTGTTTTCGCCTTAGAGTTTCCAATAGAAACGTTCTTTAAAGGCCGTTCCAGTGGGTTGAAAAAACTGTCGTTAAATCTACCGTGTGTAGAAACATTTTGAGAATAACGAATTTTGAAAACGTTGATAAAACTTTGTTTGTTTATTTTATTTCATTCTATAATTTTCCAAGCGAAATACAAATTATTAAAAGTGACATAGATGTAAAACTTAACTCGTCTGCGACGTTAAAATAGCGTACTTGATTTTGATTGTTTTGCACGTGCTGTTTGGCGCTACATTGTGACGTCACGTAAACAACACTTTAAACGTCTGTACAGCGTTAAAGACTGAATTAAAGATATTGGTGTTCGGATTTATTTTCTTAGTTAGACCATTTTCTATCATTCTAGATAGTTTTCACAACAAAATTCGACAAAAAATTGTTTTTATTTATCAGATTTTTCAAACAAAATGGCGCCCTCAATGTGAAAATACACAGGGAGATAATAAGAACGGCGAGTGCATTGTTGCAGAATAATGCACGCTTCGGGCCTTCTTTGTCTATATAGAAAAATTTCCGATAGTGTTAGAATAATGAATTGGGTATTACTAATCAGAATTATACATGCTGTTAACATTACTATCATATTGCCTCTGACAACAATAATTGTACCCTCATACACTATTAAACCTGGTGAAAGTTTTCTTTATATATTCAGTTATCTGGTAAGGGGAAATTATTATTCAGAAACAATATTATATTTCTATACTAAAGTTCGTGTTAACCCTTAACCGGCTGAATTTGTGTAACGAATTTGCCTTGCTTTGAAATTTTGAAAGGTCCACTCAGAAGTTCAAGAGATGCAAAACTTGAGCTACCAACAGTATAGAGCCCGGTCAGACTGCAAAGACGTGCTAAGCTGACTCCATGCCGGTGGCAAAGACTAATTTTACCACATTCAAGACAAATTTTGCAACATTCAAGGCTAATTTAGCCACATTCAAGACTAATTCTGCCACATTCAAAACAAATTTTGCCACATTCTAGGCCAATTTTGCCGATGTCGATAAGCTGTTTATATGCTTAAGACTAATAAAATTTATGTTATGTTACTTATTATGCCACATTCAAGGTTAATTTTGCCATATTCAAGGCTAATTTTGCCACTTTCAAGTCTAAATTTGCCACATTCTGTTCCAGCCGGTTAAGGATTTTATAAACTAACTTTCCTATGTAGCTTTGCAGAGCACGCTGTAAAGTCAAAGGAAAACCCATGCAGATTATCAGATTTTGTTAGTGTTACACTGCAAACTGTGTCATATCCTGTTAATAATCTATAATCTTATATCAAGGTAATGCTTTCTAACTAACTAATATGTTATGCAATAAACTTTGATCACATGTCACATATAAACGGAAATATATATGGTTATATAATCTTCTCAAAAAATCAAAATTTCTGATTGGTATCAAAATTATATATCACCATAATAAAAATTCATTAAACATGTTTAACTTTCAACATTCTGGTCCCTTTACATGTGACAGTTTTCAATATATGACATATTAAAAGTGTAAATAAAACTTATGGGCATACATTCAACTCATACTGTGAAATGCTGAAATATTTTCAAAAACAAAATTAATAACATAGGGGGTAAATGCAACTGTCCATTCCTTGTATAATTCACACTGGGCGGGTATGCATTTAGACATCTCAGGCAAAAATTATGCATGAAACATTACGACCATCTTCTCGTGCAAGGTTACGACGCACGTGCAGCAAGTATGTCATGCCATATCACCTCGTCCTCCGGTTCAATTTCTTCGCCCTCCGCCTGGGGCGGCAGCTGAGTTATACCATAGTGGCTCACAATCTCCGAACTGAACATCTGCAAATTGACAGTAGGTTCGGTTGAGGTCGCCATTAGCTTTTCGATATTCTCGCACGATGGCGGGGGCTGTGTTAAATCCTGGAAATTGTTTCAGTTTCTTGTTTCAGCAAATTTTTTCTCCTTTTCTTTAGTTTCTTATCAATTTTTTTTTCAATTCTTAAATCTGTGTAGCTTGCAAAAATATTGTATTAGTAAGATTTTTTTTTCAGGGACGCTAGTTTCCATTATACTTCATTAAGGGGATCCCTACAACTGCTGTACAATATAAAATATTGAAAAAAAAAATATGATTAGATCCAAAAAGAAGCCTACCCACTTAACTAAACAGAGGTAAAAAAAAAGAAAAACTGACATGACACCAACAGTCGTTCAAGACAGATACACAGTTTTGGACAGACATAGAAACAGTACATGGTGATAGAACTGTTTCCAGGGATAACAGAAACAAGAACATCACCATAGCAACATGGTGGTTAGCAAGCTACCACTTGACAACATCGACTAGTCTGAGGTGACGGTCAATCAACACAAAGGTGATACAAATAGTGGAAAGGTATACATGAAAAAAAATGGGGTTTTCCCTCCATTAATTTGCCATGTATGGTTTTTCTAGTAATAAACATTTGATTAAAATAAATATTACAAAAATCCATATTATTCATTTTTTCCCCCTACTTTAAAACATTTAACACATGTTTTTATATTTTTTATTAATATAAATTGTTTCCATTAAAGAAAAAACATTTTGCCAACTTTACATTAGAAAGTAAACCATTTTCAATTTAGACCATGTTTCAGTTTTAAACTTTTATATAATTTTCAGGGTATTTTTATTTTATTCTTTACAGACTAGGAATTATGAACCAGAATAACCCTTAACATAAGTTATGAGACACATAAACTATCTTTCCTCACTAATAGAATTTTTTAGGTTTTCTGTATAATTATAAGAAATGCAACCAAATGAATTTTTCAGTTTTCTGTATATAAGAAATGCAACAGATTATTACATTTTTTTCTTATCCTACTTAACACTTTAGAATTTTAAAGCCTTGAATATAAATCATATACATTGGCCTAGATTTTTAAAGCCTTGAATATAAATCATATACATTGGCCTAGATTTTTAAAGCCTTGAATATAAATCATATACATTGTCCTTCACACAACTGAGTCAATTTGCTTGTCATGACATTTATGTCGGAATCCTAAGAGAATATTCCAATTAATGATTAAGTTATAAAACCTCAAGTCACTAATCTAATCCTTTAATGAACCTAATTTTGTAAGGCCAAAATCTTTCCAAATGAAGTGATATTGTTCTTTTTTATAATCTCCCAGTTCTAAACTACCTCATAATTGTGCAAGAATATACAAAAGCTTAAAAGCGAACCTCCAAACAGAGACACGATTTTTTACATTAGATATGAGAATACAAGAATAATATTAACTGGGTTATAAGCTTTTTTTAACAAATAAACATCATGTTAAAATCCAAAATACAAAACTGTTTTTGCTAAAAGCTGGATTATATATAAAATGCTAAAGCCAAGGTGTTAAGAGATATATATACTTCAAACTCAAAAAATAATAATGCTACAGAAAAAAGAAAAGCATGTGTTGATTTTTTTCTCTCGTCCATCTAGCGTAACAAAATACATTTTGGTTAGTAAGTTCTGCGTCATTCCATAAAATTGTTTTAGAAAAACATTTGCTAAGCTACACACCACAAAGTATATATTGAAATACACCTGGACAAATTCTTTACACATATAAACATTTTATAACAAAAACTCTTTACTAAAGTATATACACAAAAAAAAGAAGAACGCTTTTATATTACGTACATAGATAAACAAAACTAGAAATGTGTCATCATGCCACGGATGCCCCCGCATGCAGCCAAAATTTCAGATGGTGCATTAATTATTTTTTTCATTTTAATTTCAAAGCCCTTAAAACTTTTCAATGTTAACACAAACCATTTCCATACAATGTTCAAAGCACTGAAATTATTCAGTCTTAACCTTTTAGAAATAGCATATTGCATATTTGTAGCCAAAATAATGGCTAAAAGAATGAGTGGTAAAACTGAAAGTTCAAAATTTTTCCAACATTCAGGAAAGATAAGTTTGTCTAAAATCATTGAACCATGACCAAATTCAAACTTAAACTGCTTATTCCTTGAAAATGTATCTATATTATTTTCAAAGTGAAAGGGACATAACTCTGCCAAAAAATCATCAAACCATGACCAAATTCCAACTTGACCTGCCCAATCTTTTGACATATCCATATGTCAAATTAAAGTTGAATATGTGACACTGTTGGGTAGATAAGGAACAGAAACTGTGAATTTCATATTATTTTCAAAGTAAAAGGGGCATTACTCTACCAAAAATCATTGAACCATGACCAAATTTGAACTTGACCTGGGCATTCCAAAAACATATCCATATGTCAAATTTGAGTTGAATGTGTTGTACCTTGAGGGAGATAATGAACGGAAACTGAAAATTTCATATTATTTTCAAAGTAAAAGGGGCATAACTCTCCTAAAAATCATCGAACCATGACAAAATTCGAACTTGACCTGAATTTTTTCATGACATATCAATATGTCAAGTTTGAGTTGATTGTGTTGTACCATTGGGGAGATAATGAACGGAAACTGAAAATTTCATATTTTTTTCAAAGTAAAAGGGGCATAACTCTGCCAAAAATTATCGAACCATAACCAAATTCGAACTTGACCTGTATTTTCTCATGACATATCCATATGTCAAGTTTGAATTGAATGTGTCCAACTGTTCTTAAGATAATGAACGGAAACTGAAATTTCATATTATTTTCAAAGTAAAAGGGGCATAACTCTGCCAAAAATCATCGAACCATGACCAAATTCGAACTTGACCTGTATTTTCTCATGACATATCCATATGTCAAATTTGAATTGAATGTGTCCAACTGTTCTTAAGATAATGAACGGAAACTGAAATTTCATATTATTTTCAAAGTCAAAGGGGCATAACTCTGCCAAAAATCATCGAACCATGACCAAATTCGAACTTGACCTGTATTTTCTCATGACATATCCATATGTCAAATTTGAGTTGAATATGTCCAACCGTTCTTAAGATAATGAACGGAAACTGATGATGACGGAATGACAGAATGACGGAAGGACGGAAGGACGGAAGGACGGAAGGATGGAAGGACGGAAGGACGGAAGGACGGAATGACGGAACAGGGTAACACTATATGCCCCGGCCATTACATGGCGGGGGCATAAAAAACAAATTGTAACTGTATATAGTAACTGAACGAATAAATATATATCTAAATAAGTGGTATATTAAAATAGATAAATTGTGTCAACATACATAAATTTTGTTTTACTATTGCCTATATTATATTTCTAACAGACTACAGCTGTGGGAAAAAATAGCCTAATTCATATATGATACATTACAGCAAGTATTAATCAGTGAAGAGCAAGATATACATGTATCTAATCATAACTATAATATAAGCATGGATAACATAATATTGAATCTCATGGAAGCTACGTCGATGGAAAATTTTTTTAAAGACTAAGAAATTTTCATCATGTTAGTGGTTTGTTTACAGAGGGCAAAAACGTTGATTAACTTAAGCAGTATTACATTGTTCACTTATTTTTGAATACAAGTGTAATTTAGTGAAAACATAACTGAATAATAGATGCGGATAACTAAATAACATTCAATTAATAACAGATCTTTTCAAAAGTAATCCTTTAAAATCTTAAACTGTTTTAGAAAAGGCATTTTATCACACAATGCCACAGGTTTTCATAATAATACATGTAAAACTATTCTGTATGTAATTCTTTATAATACACACATTGATATAGAAATAACCTGTCAATGATTTAAGTGATTTCTTTTTCACTTCTTTTTCTGATTTTATAATAAATATATACATGTAGCATGTATGAGTCCTTCATTTGTTGTTACTCTATAGAGACTTAGATAAAACTCATTCAAAAAACAATACAAATCTTGGCTCAGGCTTAAAAACTTGACACTTTTCCTAGATTTGTTTAAAGGAAGTCAAAATTAATTGTCAACATATGTTAAAACCTCATTTAAAATGGGCTATAAATGTGAAACAAAACACTACAGAAGCAAACTGTCTTAAATAACCTAAAATTAAGATTATATACATCACCCTTTCCATAAAAACTATGTTAAAATCATTGATTCAACATAAAACCAGTCCTTTTATATTGATAATATCTAAACATTATCCTAACTTTATTATCCAAACTTTATGTGTTATCCTAACATCAGGTATCCTAACATAGTAAGTAAACATAGCAATAACATTGTGTATAATTTACCTGATGACGTTCAAGAAGAGCCTCTGCACCAGTCACATCCTTGGCAAGCTCGTCGGAGGAAACTAAGGCCATCATACTGTTGATCCAGGATGTGAGGTCACGGTAGTCACTCAAGAAACGCTGGAGGTCATAGCTGTCTAAAAGTTTGGCTTTACGCCCGTCAGCCTACAAAACATTTTTAACATTTTTTGAAAACTTATCTTTAAACATTTTCTTTAGATGGCAGCAGTTGCCCCGAGTATAATGCCTGCCCGACAAACTGCTAATCTGAGCGTTATTATTTAAATTGTTAATAAAAACTGCTGACATTACAAAAAGAAAATCATATTTTTATCATTTTTGGTACAAGTAAAAATACAATTTATCATAGATATTCATAAAACAATGTCAGAGTTTGAGGTAGAGATTTTTTTCTTGAGGCCAAATCTCAATTTAAAAACACTGGTTGACTGGACCTAAACTAAAGTAATTATGGTGATGACATTGCCAATTGGTTAACATGTCAGACTTGTAATCTTCGTAATGTTCAAACCCAGTCAGGGACAAGCCAGCAAGAAACTCATTGCTCAGTACTGGTTTGTTCCGGGAACATACAATTAAACTAACATAAATTCTGTATCAACTTATTTAGCACATTCATACCTTGGCAGTAAGTTCATTCCACATCTCATTGATTTCTGTCTGATGTTCGTAGATTTGTTCTCCTTGATCTGGGTGAGTCATCATCAATCTCTTGGCAGACTCGTCCAAATCACGTACCTGAATAACAACAAAAACACAAAGTTTTCAAAATTCATATTAAAATACCATAACAAACATATACCTCCAAGTGATCAAATTTTTACAAAATTTTAAGATTTTATATCTCAGAGAATGGTAAATATATGATTGGGGGTACAATAGCAGAACTTGGGTCTCTCTCCTAGGCCTTGTGGTAACTCCCAAGTGGAAAGAAAAAGCATAAGATCATTATGAATTAAAACACAACAAATGTAATAGCAATTATTAAAATCTAACATTTGTTAGCCGTATCCCCCTAGGCATCTGAACCACTAGAGGTATTGAAAGCTTGTTCTTTTCTCATCTTGAATCTGTGACTTAAAATACAATTAGACATTTCAAAGCTATTTCTTTCTCTACTACTTATATGGATTCTACAATCAGTCACTTTGTAATAACTGACCTTCTCTCCCAGAGCAGCAAGATCTCTCTCAAGTCCCTCATGTTTACGTTGCAGGGCTTGCACGCTGGCTAGATCATGACCATAGTTATCATTGTTGAGAGCCTGGTTTTTCTCATTGATCCAGTCTTTAGTTTCATCAACATCCCTATAAACAAATGTCATAGTATACATTATAAACATTGAAAACTAATGTTATCCCTTGGTCTGCTATGAGAGATCACAAAAGCCTTTGCCAACAGCTTAGTTCCCAACTAGTTGTTGTTAACATCAGCATCTTGTCAAATACCAAGTTGTTTGACAGTCATCCCTAATCCTTAAATAGTCATCCAACATTCTTAATAACTTTTTTCTCATTTCCATAAAATTTGATAGAATTCAAAATGTAAGCGGACATTTTATCAAATGACAAAACAGTCAAATACTAATAAAATTTACAAAATTCTATGTCAAACTCATGATACTGTTTATTTTCACTGCCTCTCAAATTTAACCTTATACACTATACTACTATACCTTATACTAAAAAATTTTCATTCTATCTCATTTTTTTATTCTATCAAGCAATAAGGTCATTAAAATAGCATCAACATTATTATCTATCAATATACAAGCAGTGGATCAAAATAAAACATTAACAAACCTGTGGAATCTCTGTACTTCATGGGCACTACCAAGTGTCTGGGCTCTATCTGCTGTAACTTGTTGGAGTGTAGCCCATCTTGTGTTCAATGTCTGAAAATATCATAAAATATTTGTTTTCTCTTTTTACTTCTACTGACATTATAACAATATTGTCCTACTTCTTACCAACTAATTCTACCTATGTGACCAGTGCAGACCAAGATCAACTTACAGGAATAATATCCATGCCATCTAATATGGTCTGCACTGTTTGTCATTCAGTCATTTTATATCTTGAGAAATTTCTTAAAATTAGTGAACAGTCTGGATTGAAAAATGAAGAAGACTATTTAAGATATTAAGTATGGGAATGTTTAATTACAATCAAATTCTATATAAAATTTTATCATACAACCTTCCACCTTAATTATTTTTTAATTTGAAGAGTTCGAGCAAGCAATGTGGTATATGTTAATTCAAGAAATTGCTCAACATTAGCAACTTTAATATTATATTTACTTTCACAAAATTGTAGAGTTAATCATCTCTATTTGGACATAGCACACAGGATAACAAAACTTTTATACAACAAAAATCTGAACACCTAAATTTTTTTTTTTATTTTCTTACTAAAAGTACTCCATCCTTAAACAGGTATGTATAATGAAAATATATAATATGGGATTTATAAGCTGAAAATTACTTACAGCAATTTGTTCTCTGATCTTTTCGGCAGCCTCGGTTTGACCCATGGCCGTCAGTCTGTCTGCGATACTGTTCAACTCCTGTAATCTTGCCTCATTTGTTCTCAAATCCTAAAATATAAGTTATGATTTACCATATAGATTTATAATGTCCACCATTTTCAAATATTTCAAGAAATACTAAAATGACACACCTAAGTTTTTCGTAACATCTGACCAACTGCATTTAAATCAAAGCCAAGATAACAGGGAAAGCTGTACCAACTTTCAAAACATTTATATGCTTTTTTCATTCTATACTATAGATTATACCTAACTTAAAACTCTTTGAAACCCATAAACTAAGTATGAACAACATTAAAGACTTATTTTACACTGACTTTGTGTGTTATGAAGTCTATTAGAGCATTAACTTCATTGTGCGCTCATTTAAGTTACTAGTATTCAGTAAGATGAAGATATACTGGAACATATTTTCACAAATGACTGAAATATATTTTCACAAATGACTGAAATACATTTTCACAAACGACTGAAATATATTTTCACCAACCTTTCTGAAGTCGTCAAACTTCTTCTGCATCTCTTCAACTTGTTCCAGATCGTCTCCCACATTCTCCGCTACCATGATACCTTCCTTCTCGTTGATCCAGGCGGCGAGTTCCGCAGCTTCACGTACGAGCTGGTACGCCTTGCACGACTCCTGTATCTTCTCACGTCTCTGATTACCGAGGTCAAGCAGGTTGGCGTACTGGGTCTCGATCTGGTTCTGTCTGACCGAGATGGTGAACTCGTCCATCAGGTTGTTACGGCTGGCAGACAGGCTCGGGTCAAGTTTCTTCACGTAGGCAGCTGGTACGAAACCCTGACGATCGTTTACTTCAACTTTCCACCAATCCTGTAAAATTAATGTAATGATTTTGAAACTAACTTTAACATATGCAAAAATATAGACACTTATATCATTTGTTGCAGTAATTATCTTTATAAATAAGTCAAAGTAAAATTATTTTCTAAATTCTCTTTAAAATTTCAATCAATATGTCATTATTTATACAAATTTAATTCTGTGTATTATTTTGGGCATGAGCCGGCACCTGAGTTGAAACATTAACCTCCCAAAAGGTAGATGGATAGCTTCCTCATATGAAAGAATCCCAAGTCCCTGGAATGATACAAATCCACAACAATCTGTGGCTAGTGAGTCATTCAGCAGTCTTGACCACATAGGCTGTAGTGGCCATTCTAAAAATATAACACAACTTTTTCCCATCATTGTCTATTACAGTCTTAAATGGATTCAAATATTGACCAAGCTATATACTATATAAGACCATACCTTGTTGGTACTGTTCAGTAGAGTAAGAACATCTCCTTTCTTCATGGAGGTCTCTCGTGGTGATTTCTCTGTGTAGTCATACAATGCCATCACCTTCTCAGTACCAAGATCATCTATAACTGGAGCCTCTTGTTGCTGTAAAATATATCAATGTTGTTATTTTACATTAATATTCACCAGAAAAATAACAAAATTGAGGATAAAGTATATTTTTAACAGTACTATTTACTTGCTGTTTAAGCTACAAGTTAGAAGCTGATTTGCTATTATTATGCAATAATAAGTACTCTAAATCTTAGTAAATTTCACTTTTAAGTTCATTTTCAAATTCCTACAAATTATTTATATTTCAAATTTTTGAAGTCTATGAAAGAACCGTAGCAACTTACTTTGCATGCTTGGGCCTGATCATGTAGACCCTCGATGACAGTGCTGTAAGCCTCGAGGTCGGACAAGAAAGCTTCGTGCTTCTTCAACAAAGCCTCAGCAGAGTCCTCATCTTTACCATAGTCGGTATTTGAGGCAATCGGTTCTTTCTCCCTCATCCAAGACTCGGCCTCGTTAGCATCAGCGAAGTATTGCTGGGCTTGTAGAGAATCCTCTAGATCTTGTTTACGCTGGGAGGCCTTGTCCTATAAATAAAATGTTTATTAACATACTGTACAGTCTACTCCACTTACATTACGAGATCAGTTTTAACGAGGTTCTGTTTTTAAGATACTTTATTTTCCTTATATCAAACATGAAACCTAACTTAACAAGTTGTCATTTTTCCTTACTTCTGTTTATTACTTCTTTCACATATTGTATATGCATAGCATCTATTTATGTCAGTTTTATGTTTCTCATTCAAACGATTATTATAAAGTAAGATTTAACAAAGAAAGTTGTTCAGACTCACCTTCAAGTTCAAATGGGAATACTTTTAAAGTTATTAATAATTCAAGAATTTTATAAACAAACCTTCAGAGCTTGCCATCTGTCTTCTAGGTCACTGATCTTTCCTTGTATCTCGTCAGCAGCAAAGTGACCGTCTTTGATCATTTCTCCTCCTTGTTGGCTAACGTTGTTGATCCTGGGCTCATGTCCGGCCAGCTCGGCTTGTAGGGCCTGGTGTTTCTTCATCAGATTTTGTACTCCAATTAAGTCACGCCCTGAATTACGACATAAATGATTACAATTAAATCTACTTTATCCTTCGATACAAAAGAAGAACTTCCTAATCATTAGGATATAATAAAGAATTTGTTAGGCCATACCAAGGATACAACTTCTTCAATGTTTCTTGTTGGGAATAATCATTTTTTTATGGAAAATATTCATAAGGATTTTTAGTATAACAAGTGCCCTTCCAAGTGTGACATTACACAAGTAGATAACTAGCCAGGACCATCAATATACCATGACCTAACTAAATGTTTCTCCACAAAAGGAGAGAGTACTGGTACATTATATATTCACTATGAGATAATGTTGGCAAAACAATAACACACAATTTTACTGAAAGTAAATGCTTCTCATTATGTAAATTAAATGGCATTTTTCATGTGATGAAAACTCAATGAAAATCATCTTTAAAGCTTGTAAGTCTGTTAAATTTGTCCTAACAGCAACATAGATAACTGAATTTTTTTTTTTACATGCAATATTATAAATGAATAAAAGAAGATCCACATATTTTGCTTCATTAATTAATTACTGGTTACACAAAATCTAAGTATAGTTGCAATGGTTAAGTAACAATGGTAAGGTATGTTAACAGTCTATATAAAATGAGCCGTGTCATGACAAAACCAACATAGTGCGTTTGCGACCAGCATGGATCCAGACCAGCCTGATCAGGATCCATGCTGTTCGCTATCAGTTTCTCTACTTGTAATAGAGTTGGTAAGCGAATAGCATGGATCCTGATCAGACTGCGCGGATGCGCAGGCTGGTCTGGATCCATGCTGGTCGCAAACGCATTACGTTGGTTTTGTCGTGACACGGCTCATATATTATACCTCTGTTAGTGGACGCAGCAATCGGCTCTTTTTCTCTGATCCAGTCCTCTTCATCTTCTACGTCCCTAAGGAATTGTTGAAGACGAAGGGCGTCCTCCAACTTCTGGTGACGGGCTGCCATCGGATCCTGGTCGTATAAAATAGACAAAATAATGAACATGTAAGTAAATGCATTAAATGAAACCATTTTTTTTTTTTTTTTGAAAGGAGATGCTATTTCAAAATTCCTTCAATGATATGAGTTGAAGATCCTCTAAGCATGCATGCATTAAAACCAAAATGTAAAATTTACTTGATTCTGGTACTGTAGGCATCTTTAATATTCAAAAAATTCATAATTAATGGATTTAAAATATTCATCATGTACGTAAGTGGTATAATGCAAGTGATTAATCTGTTACCTTCAGGGCTTTGTATCTGTTAAGAAGCTGCGTTTGTTTGGCTTTGATATTGTCCGAATCGAAATGTCCGGAATCAACAAATGACTGGGCCTGTACTGCAATACCTTCAATACGGTCCTGAAATTATGTAATAAACATATATATTACATCTAACTATCTCACATGCTTAAACATTTTTCTTAAGGGTCTTCAGTATGGCGATACTTAAACCACTTAGTAACCTGCAAAACTATGTTCTGCACTATTTTCAATATGGATATGAAATATGGGTACACAAATATCTTATTCATTTTCAGCAAAAAAAAAACATTGTGAAAAAGAATGAGGGATATTGGGTGATATCAAACATGTATCTTACTACAAGTTATATTCTCATCATCATCTCTTATTTTTACTGTCCATATATAGAAAGAACATTAATTTGTAGTGAAAATAGGATATCAAGCGCATTGATGTATAAAAGGCCGAAAGGTGCTATTAAATGAGATTAAAATCAGACCTACCTGGTGAGCGGCAACATCAGCTTCAAGAAGAGCATGTTTCTTCTGAAGGTTCTGCACACTGGTCAAATCCTGCAATATAAATTAATCAACACATTTATATATCAGTATAAACTGTTTGCTTTTATATAAAATTCAGGTTAATTAACAGTGTTCTCATGTACTTTTTTCAAATATCTACCCTTTATATTCTAAATTAATATTCTAATTTATCATGTTATGTTGATTTTTATGTACCCTACATTTTAATACCTGTCTCATTATTATCAAATAAGTGAAAACTTGTTAAAATGTCAATACATGATATCATGTAGAATAAAAAAATATGAGCTCTTAAAAACAGTTGTCAAAACTCTTTAATTCAGCACTTTAATAAAACTATTAAACGTCATTTTACAACTTTAGCCTACTACATGTAAAACAGCTAATTTTAGCATTTTCTATCAAGCTAAACTTTAAAACACATTGTCTCTGTTTAAAGTATTCAAATGACTTTCAAATTTTGAATGAAAGAAAGTAAAATTGGCAAAGCTTAATAAACTATTCTAAATAGAATTCAGTATATGATAGCAAGTAATTAAAGTGTATTTGTTGTGGTATTAATTTAAATTGTATTTCTTTTTATATTAATCTTCCAAAATTTTAAAATACATAATTATTCACAAAGGTGTATTAAAATACAAATAAACACAACTATCAATATATAATATGTGTGTAAAAATTAGATGTGACATATTTTAAGATAAGTCTTGCAACCGTAACTGTGAGTTGTAAACAGTTTTTAAATTTGGATAACACTTTAAGAGCTTATTTAAGTACCAATTGAGAAAAAACATTTACCTAAGACCAGTCTAAAAATTCTAGCATTATGATTGGTTGTTTTAAATTCAAAACTTTCAAACTAGCCAATTGAGATGGATTTCTGCTCTCAGACTGGTTATCAAACTCAATTTTTAAACCATAGGATGCTGTATAAAAGCCTGATAACCGAGCTTTCACTTAAGATGTGTGAAGATATGTGAAAAAAGAGACAAACAAAGATGACATATAATTCCTTACACCATTCTGTGGCAAAGTCTAGACCCTAATACTATATTATCAGTAGACAAACACGCAAGTTATGTCCACACTTTATATATATCACTTACCTTGTGAATCTAAGAAATCACAAACATTTATGATAAGTGCATTAGAGAAACACGGCATCAAAATGTTTCAAATCAGAAAACTAGCAAATTCACTCTTACATTAAACATTGGAATTCTAAGCAATAAAATGGTTTAAAAAATCCAATTAAAAAATACATAATTATATTTATAACTTTTGCAAAAATAATTAAAAATTATTCAAAATTTATTAGTTTTATCATTGCACAAGATAACTTTAATCAATTTAATTTGATTAATAAATCATCAAAATTCTGAAGTTTTTAAAAGAGTCTTTAAAGTATCTTTTTAATTATATGAGAGCAGGGCATTTTTTTATTTTATTTTATTTTTTTTTTTTTTTTTTTTTTTTTGGTTAGAAAAAGCATGTTTTCTTTTAACTTTTACCCAAAAATTAATTAGGGCTTGCGTTTAAATACAGCTCTAAGATAAATTGCAGAAATCAAAATATCAATGTCACAGCAATCAAAGCTTCACAGTTAACCCAGTATTAAAATAGCATTTGTTCAGCTTCACAGTTAAACCAGTATTAAAATAGCAATTGTTCATTTGCTTCCAAAGTAAAAATCATTCACACTGGTAAAAATAAATACCATATGAACAGAGTACAATGTTCCCTGTATATAAAACATTTCAAATGAAAATTTATAGAACATAAGTTTATAAATTGTTTTAAATCTTTTATAGAACATAAGTATTTTGTGGTTCTTTTTTTGTGCTTTGCATCACACAAACACAGTCATTGGGTCATATAGTGACTTTCCAGCTTTACTGGTGGAGGAAGACATTGCATTATTTTAGGCATAAACAGGCACCCGAGTAGAACCACTGACATTCAGTAATTATAAGCATTAATGCCATAAGAATAAACAATTTAACCGCATAATGGACAATGATGGAGAATTTAACCACTCGGCCATGCCAAAATGGATTTTGACCAGTAAAATAATATTTTTTGAAAGTATACATTTATATACAATTCTATCTTTTCTACACATACATCACTTTATGATGTAAAAAAAAGTTCAATAGGTGCTTTGTATACTTTATTGTCAATTAAATATTGCTAAATTGTAAAAGTTAAGCAAGTACATTGCCTTCATGAACAGAGCTACCTTAATTTCAATAATAAATGGTGCAAACTAATATTTAAAGATAATAAATCTTTTGAAATTCTCATTTGAAATTTTTAACAGTAAAATCATCTAGTACTCTACAGTGTCTCTAACTTAAAATGAGCAGAAAAAAGCAAGAGATACATATAATTATGTAAGAAAGAAAACATTAATTCTACTAAGTCTTGTAAGTCAGCAATTATTTTACTGAAATTCTGCCCCTGCAGTGATCATAATAGTGCGACATTTTCTTCGAAACAGACAAGCTAAAAAGGGGGAGGTAAATACAATGTAGCAGGATCCATACACAGTCACAGGATTTTGTTTTTTCCATTACAAAAATATTACGAAAAGGGGAGATAAGCGTGAGATTCTGTCTTTGACAGCATTGCCCTTAACAAAGGGAGATAATAAGCACGTGACTCTGTCTAAGTAACAAGCAGGGCTAATGTGTGAAATCTGTTCATAAAGAGTACATGTACTAAGAAAAACCTAGACAAAATAAAGTAAAATTTAAGAAATCTTTCAGGTAACCATTCTTATAACTTTATAAACAGATTTCTATTCAATTGGCTAAAACTTGGCAGATATTTATGATGAACATTCAAATCATTCCTTTCCGATCAGGTAAGTCAGGAAAGCTTCAACCTGTTTTAAGCATATTTATGCTTCAGCAAGACTTATGAATATTCATATTCATGCATAGTACTGAATTTGAAAAAAAAAATAGTAACACATTTTCAAAATACTTACAGGATTTTGCATATGAAAACTTATAACTTAATATTTGGAGAGCATGTTGACAATAAAAAGGTCTACAAATAGGTTAAAGCAGCACACACAAGCAGTGAAATAAAAACTTACATGTCGCCGAAGTAGCTAATCATATCAAAAGTAAATAAAAAAGATAGCAAAACAAGATATTTTAGATCACAATATCTAAGCCATGCATACATAACATCAATATACATTCTGCAAATTCTATAAAATGGTGTACAACATACAACATATCCTTCACAAATAAAATCTAACGGCATCAAAGTGCTATATTTACTCTCCTATAACACTGACAGATAATAAGGCTGGCTCTTATATTCTACAATAAATAACATTAGAATTTTCCTTTGGTACCAATGCTGAATGCATATTCCATACAAGTATGGCTGCATGTATGGTATAAGGCAGTTTTTTATTTTTATTTTTTTTCCAGACTTTGGAAACAGGGGAAGTAAACTTCATGTTTGAAGACTATTTATATTACTAGTAATTAAAACTTGACCATTTATTTGACACAGTTTTTACAACTGTTATACGCAGATGTACAACCACTATATGGCATTCTTGAATTAAGGTATAGACTAATTCATAAACTTTCATCAGCATTGTACTGTACACCAGATAATATAGCCTAATCATTATTAATTTCCTAATTTTACTTGAGCTCTTATGAAACCTGTACCAGTAATAATGTGTTAATTGCCAATTTCTTCACAGCAAAACTTCTTGTTTTCTGGGTGTTATAGATACTATCTGATGCAAAATTCTTCATCAACAAAAGGGTGGAGTGTCATTTTTTTTAATACTTAAAGATCCTGTAACACATTATTTTTATGGTTTTATATACAAATTATGATGCTCAAATTAAGATTTATCGATATTGTAAGTTTCAAAAAACATTATTTATAAAGATATAACCGAATTTAATATTTCATGTAAATAAAGGGAGGTAATTAGAATTTAGTTTTCTATAAATTCTAAGTCAATTTTTCCAATAAGAAATGAATGCATATAATTTAATGATTACCTTAAATATGTACAAATATTTGCGATACATATTTTACATATTCTTCCATGTTTGAAAATTGACAAATTTGCATAATTACATACATATATAATTCAATGAAGAGTGGTATGCAATCTCAATAACAAAACATACAGGATCTTTAAAATGTAAATGTATGGGCCACATTTCTCCAAGTGATAAAATGTATAACCTTACCCATACAAAATTAAGGGGAAGTGACCAGTATTTCAAATAACAAGGTAACCAATTCATCAACAAATTGTTGGTTAAATACTTATGATAGAAATGGCTTGGGTTATTTTATTAATAAGTAATAAATAAATCTAAATATAAAATTACACAATTATCTGAAAACTGACATGCATGCTAAATTTATGTTTCGTCAACAAATGTGCATAAAGATGCAATTTATTTAAATCATGCAAACATTCTTTAAACGAGTGATATTTTTTTATCATTTGAGCAACAGCAATTCTAAACAGGAAACTTTCTATTTAAAGAAACTTAAGCCATTCATTGTCAGAAATCAAAATGAAGATGTCCAATTTATCATCTGAAAACGATTTCTAAATAACACAAGCATTTTATCTTTTGACAAATAAAACTTTCAAAATGTCAAGGTTTATTGCCATTGTTGATACAAGTACTGTGCTTTAAAGTTTTGTTTTTAAGAAATTTACAAAATATTGGTCTTTAATTATACATTTATATAGCTAAGGACATACTGGAAGATTTATATATGGCCATGGGCTGGGTCAATAATTAATCATTTCAGAAAGAAGAAATTGGACATGTCCAGTCAATTACAATCATGCAAACTTAGAATGCCACTAAAGATAAATATTGTTTACATAATGATATAAGAGTTAAATAATATATTTACTAAAACGATTATAGAACATTACACAAGAAAACAACAGAATTACAATATTCAATATCTATATACTGAAGATATTTATCAGATATATATAAATTTGCGTATCATTTGTAATACAAATTACTCACCTTCCCATAATCCTCGGACATAAGTTGTCCCTCGATCTCTGACAGCCAAGACTCGATGTCTTCAACATTACGATTAAACTGCTGTTGTTGACTCGCCTCCTTCAATTTGTTGCCCTTGAACTCTGTCTGTCTCTGTAGATTGTCCCACAGCTCAAGAATTTCATCTGTCCTTTCTCTGTACACAAAAGTAGATAACATTAATTTTTTTAATGTCACACTGCAGAAGTCGTATGGCATTTTTTTTCAGCTTTACTGATGGAACAAGACCTCAGGTGGCCTTCCATGCTTTATTTCAGGCACAAGCAGGTACACAAGTAGAAGCACCTTCTGCAACCTAGATAGAAAGCAAGCTTCCTCACAAAGTACCCCCCCCCCCCCAAGCAGGATTTAAATCCCCAAACGGAGAGGTAGTGAGGGGCTTCTTGTTAATGCACTGGTTCAAATTTTCCTTTAGCTATATATGATAAAACTTTTATCTTTTAATCTAGATTGCATTATTACAAGGCAACATCATTAGTATTTATTTTCGTACCCAACAATAGAATAAATATTTCCTTTTTTATAACTTTACAGCATAAAACAAGTCAGTGCTTTTAACCTATGTAGTAATCTATCAAATGTTTAAAGGGACTTCACTGTGTTTTTTTTGACATGACAGGACTGAAAATAGTTTTTCGCGATTAATGTTCCATTTGATGCAGATCTACATCAATAATTTGTGTGCAAAATTTCAGATCGTTCGCTCACTCCGTTTTTCTAGAATAATTTTTCTTATTGTGCAAAATGACCCAAAATAGGAACACTTTTCACTCAAATATTAAATGTTATCAATAGCACAATAATATGATTTTTAATTAAATCTGCGAGTATATTTCTTAATTATCTTTTGCCTATCTTTCTATTTTAAGTGCCCCAATCTGATCTATCCAAGAAATTTAAATTTATATATTAAAGTTTTAGGACCTCAGTAGAGTTCCTTTAAAGTATTAGTAAATATTACCTGATGGTATCTGAGGCATAGTGTTCCTCGGCCAGCAGTTGTTCACCAGACGTCTGTATGGTATCTATTCTGTTCTTATTGGCCTCAATCTCCGCCTCAAAGTTCTGGTGCTTCTGTACCTTAGTTTGAAGATTGGTTGGGTCCTGTAATATAAAACATTGCCTATTAATAGTTGTAGCTTCCTTGATGACAATTATTATGTGAAAGTTTTGCAGGAATCTTTTGAGAAATGCAACAGGAGATGCATTATGAGAAACTGTATAATTATGCTCAGCCTGCAAACATTCATATTTCTAATACAAGTTTTTGTTTATCTGAAACTATTAGAACTAGAAATGTGTCATCATGCCACGGATGCCCCCGCATGCAGCCAAAATTTCAAATGTTATAATATTTAGTTCCAAATTTGTTTGCACAAATTATTTTTTTCATTCTAAGTTCAAAGCCCTTAAAACTTTTCAATGTTAACACAAACCATTTTTATATAATGTTCAAGGCACTGAAATTATTCAGTCTTAACCTTTTAAAAACAGCATATTGCATATTTGTAGCCAACATAATGGCTATATACATTTCCACAAAAGTATGAGTGCTGAAACTGAAAGTTCAACATTCAGGAAAGATAAGTTTGTCTAAAATCATTGAACCAAATTCAAACTTAAACTGCTTATTCCTAAGATGTATCTATATTATTTTCAAAGTGAAAGGGACATAACTCTGCCAAAAAATCATCGAACCATGACCAAATTCCAACTTGACCTGCGCATTCCTTTGACATATCCATATGCCAATTTTGAGTTGAATATGTAACACTGTTGGGTTGATAATGAACAGAAACTGTAAATTTCATATCATTTTCAAAGTGAAAGGGGCATTACTCTGCCAAAAATCATTGAACCATGACCAGATTCGAACTTGGTCTGCGCATTCCAAAAACATATCCATATGTCAAATTTGAGTTGAATGTGTAATTTTGTTGGGGAGATAATAAAACGGAAACTGAAAATTTCATATTATTTTTAAAGTGAAAGGGGCATAACTCTGCCAAAAATCATCGAACCATGACCAAATTTGAAATTGACCTGCGCATTCCTTTGACGTATCAATATGTCAAATTTGAGTTGAATGTTTAATACTGTTGGGGAGATAATAAACAGAAACTGAAAATTTCATATTACTTTCAAAGTAAAAGGGGCATAACTCTGCCAAAAATCATCGAACCATGACCAAATTAGAAATTGACCTGTGCATTCCTTTGACGTATCGATATGTCAAGTTTGAGCTAAATGTGTTGTACGATTGGGGAGATAATGAACGGAAACTGAAAATTTCATATTATTTTCAAAGTGAAAGGGGCATAACTCTGCAAAAAATCATTGAACCATGACCAAATTTAAACTTGACCTGCGCATTCCTTTGACGTATCCATATGTCAAGTTTGAGTTGAATGTGTTGTACCATTGGGGAGTTAATGAACAGAAACTGAAAATTTCATATTATTTTCAAAGTAAAAGGGGCATAACTCTGCCAAAAATCATCGAACCATGACCAAATTTGAACTTGACCTGAATTTTCTCATGACATATCAATATGTCAAGTTTGAGTTGAATGTGTTGTACCGTTGGGGAGATAATGAACGGAAACTGAAAATTTCATATTATTTTCAAAGTAAAAAGGGCATAACTCTGCCAAAAATCATCGAACCATGATCAATTTCGAACTTGACCTGTATTTTCTCATGACATATCAATATGTCAATTTTGAATTGAATGTTTTGAACCGTTTGGGAGATAATGAACGGAAACTGAAAATTTCATATTATTTTCAATGTAAAAGGGGCATAACTCTGCCAAAAATCATCGAACCATGACCAATTTCGAACTTGACCTGTATTTTCTCATGACATATCCATATGTCAATTTTGAATTGAATGTTTTGAACCGTTTGGGAGATAATGAACGGAAACTGAAAATTTCATATTATTTTCAATGTAAAAGGGGCATAACTCTGCCAAAAATCATCGAACCATGACCAATTTCGAACTTGACCTGTATTTTCTCATGACATATCCATATGTCAAATTTGAGTTCAATATGTGCAAGGGTTATTAAGATAATGAACGGAAACTGATGATGACGGAAGGACGGAATGACGGAACAGGGTAACACTATATGCCCCTGCCATTATATGGCGGGGGCATAATAAAAAATATTCCCTAAAGTCTTATATACTACAATATAATCAAATACCAAAAAGCTTTTTTCAGATCCTTCATTTAAAGTTGGGGGGAAATAACACAACATTTTTGCAAATGGGGCAAAAAAAAACATCATGTAAGTTGATTTTTAATAGAAAACTGCATGATTTTAAAGAATTTTACAGAGGGAAACAATCTCTAATTTTTTAGTGATAGAAGCCCTTAATACAAAATAAATATAAACAAACCAAGTAGTTTTCATCAGAAGCTGTCTTCAGTTTTTCATTAATCCAGCTCTTTGTTTCATCACAATCTCTCTGGAATGTCTGGAACTTGTAGGACTCTTCCAGCAGGTGTCGCCTCAACTGTGACGCTTCATAGAGACGATTCCTTCTTGTAAGCAGCTGTAAAGGAAAAACACTTGCCATTAAACGACATGTAAATTGGCATATGCAATACTTTTGTTTGTCATGTAAATTGGCATATGCAATACTTTTGTTTGTCATGTAAATTGGCATATGCAATATTTTTGTATGTCATGTAAATTGGCATTTGCAATACTTTTGTTTGTCATGTAAATTGGCATATGCTATACTTTAGTATGTCATGTAAATTGGCATATGCGGTTACAATAGTTTCTGAAGGGGGACCTCAGTAAATGTTGTGACATTTTTAAACAATCTTGTGTGAAATAGGGCATTGAGCATGTGACCAGTTTTCCACAATATTTGTTAGGGAATTCAGAAGCAAAACATACTGTTTCAGACAGTAAAACACTGATGACCCATATGAAGTGGTGAACGTTTACCTTGCAACTCTACTACTACAACACAATGCTTGGAGTCTGAGGCAATTTGTTTTTCAGATAGCACATAAAGACCTCTCTTTCGCAAGCAAATATGATATTCAACTTTTATTTCTTCATCACAATCTTGACCTAAACTTGCATATGTTTTTGATGTCATATATAAAGAATACTCTCAACAAGACAATCTCATCTACTTTGTGTTTTTTTACATCTGTGTACGATTTTTATTTTTTGTAAAACATTTCAGGTTCATGACCGCTTTCCAATATGGTTCATATGATTTTTCATTGCAGTTAACAATTTTAAGACATAAACATCATGTAATTATCAAACCAAGTTACCTGATCACGTCTTGCAGCCACATCGTCGGCAGCGTAGTGCTCGTTCTCAATCAGCTTGGTGGCAAACTCATCAAGGGCCTTGATCTTCTCTTCCTGTGCGGCCAGGGACTTTTCAAAGTCATCGTGCTTCTTAAACAATGCCTCCACACTGTCTAGTGAGTCACCCAGGTCTTCATTGGCCAGGAAAGCCTAGAAAATCAAAGCAAGAGTTTTAATATACCCAGCTTTTAATACAAAGGGGGAACCGAAAAAAACAAAGAAAACCAGTATAATAATTAAACATAATGTTTCCAATTTGAAACCTTGATTCTGTTAATTAAAATACTATGGTACAAAAAAATATTTTCATCTTACATTGTAGATTATGTAACACAATTGGTAAACTTTTAAACTATGTCCAATACATACAGGGTGATTCATAACATCTCATACACTTTTGAAATTTAATAGTGTTAATATCATCAAACATAGTCAAATGATTTTCATATAGTAATAATCTAGAGGCTTTAAAGGTTTGTTTGCTATATAACTACAATATTTGAAAATTATCTCTATAGATCTTGTTTTAGGTACTAAAGGACTCTACTATAATAATGATCATGCAATAAATAAGTGAAACGAAATCTAAAAACAATCAATTTCCCTTCAATAACAAGACATAAAATGTTTGTGATAAAACCGTAAAAAGATTAACCTCTTGTTTGGTCATCCAGGCATCGGCTTGTTCTGTGTCTCTAATAAAGAGTTGAAGGTCCATACATTGTTCATAGAGGATTCTGCGTTCCTCCCACATCTCTAACAGGCTGTTCTTTTCTGTCGACAGTGTATGAAGCTGAAATTATTACAATAACATTGAGACATTTTAATTTATGTAAGCATTATGTGTAGATGAGTATGATAACAGTACTTAATATATAAACCTTATACTAAGGATCCTTTAACTTAAAAATCATAGGATTTTGACATCAAATTAATTAACAGATTAGGTTGTCACTTTATAAAACACATTACTGACAAAAGTACAGTGTTTTGAGACAATTTGAAACAAACAAAAAATTCAATTTTTCAAACAACTTAATATTCTTGCCAAATATTAAATTAGTATCTATCAAATGGCTCAAAAGAATTTAAAATCAATCTCAGAACATCTTTTTTCATTGCAAGATCAATAATCCGTTTGTACTAGAGCAAAAAATTAAATAATTCAAGAGGCGATCAAATGGGTAGTTCAAATCATCACTAACCTTTTCCCTGACTTCATCAGCAGCATAGTGGTTAGTATCAACCAGTTTGTTTCCAGACTCCATGGCTGAACGAAAACTGTCCTCGCGAGCATCGATCTCCCCCTGTACAAAACAAATTATCATATTACTTATATATATTCATTTTTTTAATCAGTAAAATTGGGACGACATTTCATCATATTTTTGTGTTTTTAATCCACCATGATTTGTTTTGAATACTTTTATTTTATCCTCTTATCTAGCAAGCAAGAAATCAAGTTTAATCATGTATTCCTGGCTTGAGAGAAAGTATTAATATCATTCTCAGCATACATTTGTATTTCTTCCATGTTATACATAACATAATTGAGCTTGAAGCTAAAAGAATTTGTTTTCAACATGAAATACGTCTTAAACAAATACTGTAACTACCTTAACACTATTATTATCTTGATAAGTACATGTCATCTCCTTAGTGCAATAACTGAATAACTCCTATTAAATTTAGAAGAACTTACCCTGTTATTGCACTAAGGTGATGATGAAGTTACATTAAAAATTATATTAAGCAAAACAAAAATTTCAGGAAAGTTAACCTTGTGCTCCTGGTGTCTCTCTAGAAGGGCCTCGGCTCCTGCCACATCTTTGGCAAGATCATCAGCTGAGATAATTGCCTTCATGTCATGGATCCACGATACAAGGTCACGGAAATCGGCCAAGAAACGGTGAAGATTGTATGAGTCATCCAGCCTGGATTTTCTCTCTGCTCCCTGTAATCAATTTTGAAAACTTTACACTGAAGTACAGATACATTGGTGCAAGTAAAAACTATCAGAAAATCTGAAAACCCTGAATTCAGTATTATTTATAAATATATGTATCTTGGTGCAAGTAAAAACTATCAGAAAATCTGAAAACCCTGAATTCAGTATTATTTATAAATATATGTATTTTGGTGCAAGTAAAAACTATTAGAAAATCTGAAAACTTTGAATTCAGTATTATTTATAAATATATGTATCTTGGTGCAAGTAAAAACTATTAGAAAATCTGAAAACCCTGAATTCAGTATTATTTATAAATATATGTATCTTGGTGCAAGTAAAAACTATCAGAAAATCTGAAAACCCTGAATTCAGTATTATTTATTAGGGATGTCATTCGGAGTCCGGATATCTGAACGTTCGGATAACGATTCGGTGTCCGGAGCCGATTTTCTGATCCGGATGTTTGTAACAAATTTTAAAAAATTGAGAAAATGTGATAAATACATGCGTTGAGATAATCGTAGACATGGTATTGACACCATATTGTATATTGTACCTTAGTTTGACAATACACATCATAATCTCTGCAGATCACAAAAAATCAATCATTACTATAATAATTACTTAATTTCGTTTTCATTTCATTTGAAATCGTAAGTACCACACGCACTAAATATATTGATAACAGCTAGTCGTATTCTATATAGAAGAAATAAAATCAATAACGGAACATTTTTGATATGTATCATTCAATTAAAAAGGAAGAAAAACAAAATACTACACTTTGAAAAAGGTCGCGAAAAAATGGTTACGTCATATCAAACATCTAAGAAAATAACAACGATCCGAACATCCGGATGTATTCGGATGTTTGATTCCGGATATCCGGATGGCCGTTTCGGCTCCAGATGACATCCCTATTATTTAAAAATATATAATTGCTTTTATATAGAAATACAGAGCTTCCAAGGGTAGAAAAAAACCTGAACTTCAGGCAAATGTCTGAAAACTTGCAAAGCATATAAATAAAGTTGCCTCTTAATTACTTATGAATCAGGAGCTTATTAAAAAGACAGACCTTTCAAATCTTTAACCTAAATATAGAGGGCCTTAAATCTATACATTTTCATTAACGTTTCATTAATAAACATAATCTTTACAAAACAACAAACTCTGCAGACATCTAATTACTTTAAAACTTTCACATTCAATAAAAGTCCATAATGAAAACAATATAATTTTCAAAATCCTCTCTGGTCCCTGTTTTTAAAATGGGATCAATCAAATTATCTTTTATGGCTTCAGAAACTGGCTTATATGTACCTTGTCCTTCAGACGTGTCCAGTTGTCTTCAATCTCAGTCTGTTTACTGTTGATAGCCTCGGCATGATCTGGGTGAATATCCTCCAAACGTTTAGATTCTGCTCCAAGTGCAGAAACCTGAAAATACAATATTCAAATACAATATTAGTTAACTATCATAAAGCCTTTCCCTCAGAGGTCTTCATTTACACTGAATATGTTTGTGGTTAAAAATAGAAATAAGTTAGATAATTAAGGCTCCCACGTTTACAATTTTTTGTAAACGTTTACACGATTGCTAATAACCGAAATGATACCGTTTACACGGTGGTACCTCTATGAACTATACACACACCATGTATTTAAATCGCCAAATGATGTCTTTCTTTCTATTTTTACACATGTACAAATAAAGAATGTTCAGGGCTCATCACGATTGAGTCAGCACACATTTGTTGCATTGTAACCCCATTTTTTACCAAAAAATGTATTATGTCACGAGCAATTTTGCACCGTAATGCTGTGTGGAGGGTTGTAAACACCTATTTTCCGTTTGTTTACTTTGGAATAAACAACTAGAATTGATAAAATCCATGATTACAGGCAATGATTAAGAAATTTTGTAAGACAATATGGTCATTTCGATTAAACGGTAAACAATATCGTAAACGTTTATGAATGAAAATCGAAACAAATCCATTTAAACGTGTAATCGTGGGGGCCTTATAGGTAAGTGCAGTAATCATCCTGCCAATATGGTGCTCCCATCGCAATTGAGGTATTACTTAGGTAACTACCTCAAGTAACACTGATACAGCTCAAGAAGCACACTTGAAAGTCATCAGAAGGTGCAAGAAACTATTTTTTATAATCAAGCCAAGGTAATGAAGATACACATTTCCCAAAAAAGTTTTATTGTAAACAAGACATGCTTGCATTACTAAGAATCAATTAACTGGACCTAGACCTATATTTCTTACGTTTGCTTTTAGTAATTATAACATCAACAAAATATGATGAAACTGGTTTCATTATTTACATACAATAAAAGTTCTTAATGAAAATAATAATTTTCAGATCAAGTATAATTGTTACCTTCTCATTAAGGGCAGCAAGGTCTCTCTCAACACCCTCATGTTTACGTCTCAGTGCTTGCACACTAGCAAGGTCACGGCCATAGTCATCTGTGGAGAGGATCGCGTCTTTCTCCATAATCCATGCAATAGTTTCATCAGCATCTCTATAACATACAAGTCAAAGTTTTATTTGACATCTTAAAAGAACTAACTGAATGAAAAAGGAAAAATCTATACACTTCATATCACTGAAGCCTTATAATATTTGCTTATATTTTAACCCACCCTAGTTAGTACCTGTATCATTCAAATATTGGGCTTATACTTAAAGCTGTTAAGATATTTACTTATTTCTAAGCTACTTTATAATGCTTTAAGAGATAGTAATGTTGCTTTTATAACTTAAATTTACAACAGCGGTACTGTACATGACACTATGTTTGGAAGCAGTTAGAAAAACATTTTATGCTCCCTAATGTGTCAATTTTCAAATTGACAACTTTTTTATGTGACTTGCCTTCAAGCCTTCACAAAGAAAACTTTTTTATCTTTTATCTTCTAATATGATAATATCCTATACTTTTCATCTTTTTTTCAGCAAAATTGCAAATTCATACCAACATTTTTTCCCCCCATTTATTTCATATTTCAAAAGCATATTAATAAAATCATTTGACATTTTATGTTAATGGAATACAATTATTCAGATTCAGCAAAATTGCAAATCTATATCAAAACTCCACATACCTGTTAAATCTCTGAATCTCATGAGCTCCAAACAATCTCTCCTGTCTGAGGAGGGACAGTTGTTTGAGTCTCGCCCAGGCCTCGTTCACCTCGTCACGTTTCTGTGAAATGGTCTCCTCATCCGGGTGTCCATCTTCCAGCAGCTGCTGTGACAGCGTGTTCACTTCGGTCACTTTGTCCTCATGGTTCTGTAGATCTTTCTGGAACTCGTCAAACTTCTTCTGTAGCACTTCCACATGCTCAAGATCTTGTCCAAACTCCTCGGATGTTACGAAAGCTTCCTATGATGTGGAGTACACAATGATTTAACTTTCAATGTTTGACACTTGTTATCACTTGCTATTAAATATCATACATTTATTTTTTTCTAATAAATTTTTTACATGCTTTAACACAATAGCTTTTTCATTATTCTATAATAACATGTATGTTGTGTTGTTTTTCAGTCTGGTTGGAAGGAACATATGGTGACTTTCGTGTTTCACTGATTGGGGAAGATTTTGGTGTTGCTTCTCTCATATCTTGGCATGCATGGGCTAGCTGAGTAGCAATGCAAGCCAGCTGAATGGCTTATTTGCTATGGAACCTTAAGTCATAGGATTCAAACCAACAGCAGTGAGGGGCAAGTTATTTCAAGTCAGGCAATAAAAAGCCCCAATTTTATTTTTATTCTGGGTAATACACTAAAAAGAAGTATTACAAATGAAATATACAGGACACTTCGAATGCAGAATTTGACTATTTTGCAGGAGATATTTCATGCTATGATTACACCCATATCATCCCAAAAATTTATCTGTACACATTTTTTTTCTCTATGTGAAACATCTCAATAAAATACAATGACAAGAAACATGGCAATGCCATGAAACCAGGTTTTCAATTATCACCATTGTAGATAAATATGTTGTATTTGAAATACAAATACAAGCAACAAACAATGTAACTATGTGCAATGTAAAACATGAATAATGTAGGAGGAATTGCCACTGAAGAAGTGTTCACTATAATATTATGTATAAGGAAAAAAACAAAGGGCCATAATTAGGTCAAAAACTATCCAATCACAAAACCCCGACAATATGTGCCAGGGTGCTTGATGACAAAGCTTCTGTGAAAGTTTGAACAAAATCCGTTGAGAAATGTAGGACGAGTTCAGCACAGAAGAAGTTACAAAGTAGACATGAAATAATATATCATATCTTTTTTAAATTACCTCCAAAGATGATATGACCTTTGACTGCCAAATCAAGTTAAAATCATGTAAACAGGATTTTCAATGTTAATGTCACTGTGACCTTGACCTTGGAGCCAGCCATGCGGAACATGCGTTCTGCACGTCATCTTGATGTGGTAAACATTTGTCTGAAGTTTCATCAAAATTCTTCAAAGGGTTGAAGAGTTACAGAGCGGACAGGATTTTCAATGTTAATGTCACTGTGACCTTGACCTTGGAGCCAGCCATGCGGAACATGCGTTCTGCACGTCATCTTGATGTGGTAAACATTTGTCTGAAGTTTCATCAAAATTCTTCAAAGGGTTGAAGAGTTACAGAGCGGACACAATTTCGTTTGACGTTTCAATGTTAATGTCACTGTGACCTTGACCTTGGAGCCAGCCATGCGGAACATGCGTTCTGCACGTCATCTTGATGTGGTAAACATTTGTCTGAAGTTTCATCAAAATTCTTCAAAGGGTTGAAGAGTTACAGAGCGGACAGGATTTTCAATGTTAATGTCACTGTGACCTTGACCTTGGAGCCAGCCATGCGGAACATGCGTTCTGCACGTCATCTTGATGTGGTAAACATTTGTCTGAAGTTTCATCAAAATTCTTCAAAGGGTTGAAGAGTTACAGAGCGGACAGGATTTTCAATGTTAATGTCACTGTGACCTTGACCTTGGAGCCAGCCATGCGGAACATGCGTTCTGCACGTCATCTTGATGTGGTAAACATTTGTCTGAAGTTTCATCAAAATTCTTCAAAGGGTTGAAGAGTTACAGAGCGGACACAATTTCGTTTGACGTTTCAATGTTAATGTCACTGTGACCTTGACCTTGGAGCCAGCCATGCGGAACATGCGTTCTGCACGTCATCTTGATGTGGTAAACATTTGTCTGAAGTTTCATCAAAATTCTTCAAAGGGTTGAAGAGTTACAGAGCGGACAGGATTTTCAATGTTAATGTCACTGTGACCTTGACCTTGGAGCCAGCCATGCGGAACATGCGTTCTGCACGTCATCTTGATGTGGTAAACATTTGTCTGAAGTTTCATCAAAATTCTTCAAAGGGTTGAAGAGTTACAGAGCGGACACAATTTCGTTTGACGCCCGCCCATCCGCCCATCCGCCCAGCCGCCCATCCGCCCGCCATACCCCAATCTAATAACCAGGATTTTCAAAATTGAAAACCTGGTTAAAAAGGGACTGTTGAATCATTGAAAGTCTGAGTTATGTTTTTGGAAAATACAATTTCACTTGGGAAATCCATGATATTACTGCATCGGCAAAAGAAGCCAAAATTTCTGCACCATTACAAACAATATGAAATTAAACTCCCTAAAGAATACTATACAAAAGCTCACCCTATCATGTATCCAGAACATAACTTCATTACATTCTCTCATAAACTGTACAAGTTTCAATGCCTGCTGTAGCTTGGTTCCCTTCTCCTTCAACTTTGATAACAGCAGTTCCCATAGTCTGTGTAATTCATCAAGGCGTTCCTGGGAACCAGACAAATAAATGTATAATCACCAATTTTGTCACAGAAATAAAATATCAAAAGCTTTCATAAGATAATTGTGTTGGTTAACTTTATTTGCTTTGTTTTTTAATTTTATTGTTGTATTTTGTTCTTTATTAAACTTGCTTTTTACACATTTAACTTTATTACTAACAATCATCAACATATGATAATTTTTGGTGTTTTGTTGAAATTTCATCTACAAAACCATTGTATAAAATTATAACATATAATTATGTATTTTCAATAAAACATACTTACTATACACACATTCAAAATGAGGTTATTTCAAACAATTACTTATTTACAATTATTCAAGTTTGATCTGTTTGATTTATTTCAAACAAAAATTTACTTACAATTACTCAAATTTTCTGCATTTGATTTAAAATTCACCAACAAACCACTGAGCAGAGATCATATGGCTGAATATAAATAATAATTTGCCAAAACAACTGGCTGAAATAAGTCTTTATCATATCATATACACATCTTATGAATTTCCTCAGAGAAAGCTACATGCATTTTCATGACATACCTTGATAATTTCGGAGGCAAAGTGTTCTTGGTCAATCATTTCTGTTCCTGTGTTGTCAAGGACAACAATAGCGTTGGCATGGGCAGCAACCTCGGCTTCAAAAGCTTGATGCTTCTGAATCTTGGCCTGAAAATTGTCAAATGATCAATTATCAAAATGAGAAGAAAATAACCAAACCAGTGATGAAAACAAAAAAACCAGTCAAAATTAATAATACAGGACATGGAATAATTGTAGGTTCACTACTGAATTTATTGAAAGAGTTAAATAAAATAATATAATGCGAACCTCTAGCAATATTATTTTATTCAGTGAGTTCAATAAATTTAGTATTTAGTAATGAACCTATGCAAATAGAACATTCTGTTATCACATACTAAAATGGTTCAAACATTTATTTTTTAGTGTAAAGCTAACATTTAGCACGCTTTAATGCCATGTTTGCATGCTGTGACAGAAAAAAATTACTCTATAGAGTATCAACAATTAACAGTAAATGAATAATTGCAACACTTTATTCTTTTATTTCATCTCTACATGGATGCAAGTTGAAAATTTGGTAAAACATGATGAAATTTGTCACAAAAAACCTGAGCTTCCTGAAAACTTGCACCCATGTATCTATTTAATGTGTTTCCCAAATTTCATTACCTCATGTAAATCAGAACTAATCAGACACAACAATATTGCATGGTGGGAAAAAATCGTTAAAATCCACATTACCTGTAAATTGGTCGGATCTTTGTAGCTCTCATCTGAGGCAGTCTGTAATTTCTCCAAAATCCAGCTCTCCAGTTCATCAGCATCTCTCTTGAAGTACTGGTATCTGCGTGAGTCTTCAAGCTTGTTACGACGGTCGGAGATGGCCTGTTTAAAGGCGGAGTAACGACCGAGAACTTCTTCTCTCCGCTGCTGGATATCCTCAGCAGTCTCTAAGATCTTTATCTCGCGAGGCTGAACCTCTGTCATTGTTACGCTTTACTGAAAATATATAAAATTACGAAATTATTTTATACGTAAAACACTAGTTGAGGTTATGACTAACATGTGATTAATGTTTTGATTTCAAGACATCAACCATACGTTTTTGTTTTAATTTGTTTATGTAGACTAGGTCAGTCAATGTCATTATTTTGGTATTACTTCATTTCTGTAAAATAATTTGATATATAACATAATACATAACATTAGTAATATATTTTTCTGACAACTTCTGCACACAAGAAATAGTGGTAGTCTGGTCTATATACTGCTACATATCTTAGCTATAGTTTAATCAATACCTAATATAATTATATAGTATTACATTGATAAGGATTTGGTAACAAGATGTAAGAGTTTTACTAGAAAACAAATGCTGTTTGTTTCAACTGAGATTTGCACTGATCAATTCTCCAATCAATTCACAAACAAACACATATAATATCTTTACTTTCTCAACTTCTTCATTGTATATAAAATATGCTACAGGAAGACACTACAGAAGCCTAAAGAAAGATTTTTCGCCAGCAAAAAGAGTAGAGCAAGAGTATGTAATTATTATATATACAAGTAGAGACTATACAGTATAAAAATCTGCCGAAATAATTATCTCAAACTATATCTAAACATCATAGTATAAGAGCTAATTAATGTCAATATTAGCCTGGGATTCAGGCGTTGATATTTTTTATTTATTCATAACTTACGCGCTATTTCATACTCGATCGTCATAGATAACACAACATCTCTGGTTTTGATAGTGTCGATTTGCCGAACAGAAGCACATAAAAAATCGACAGACTGGAACCCAGGCTATGTCAATATATAAATATCAAACAGATAACTTAGACAAGATACCACAGATGGCATGCATCCAGCCACAACCGGTTTATCTCAAGAGCAAATATCCAAGATGGCTACCCCACACCCAAAAAAATTCATCACCATCAAGGTCAATTTCAAAATCTTCCGACAAAAGCTCCCCATCTAAAACCAGCAAAATATCATCTAACACATAGTGTAAATATTGTATACTTTGCCTGAATTAAAAAATTACTTACATATCAATTCTATCAAGTATTTATTCCCTATTTTTCTTAATATTATACACATGAAACAGCAAGACTGTATCACATTCCAGAGTAACTGAGTAATATAGCTGCCTCCTGGATAAATCAATACAGCTAGCATCCCAGCACACCAGACTACAGGTATTGATTCATTGAAAAACTTGCTGATTACCTCCCTTTACAGTACCAATGTCAGTGTAAAAACCCTAGGATTACTTCCCTTTACATGACTCTTCAAAACTTGGCTCAACTCCATGTTGGAGAAAATAGTTGCTGAATGATAAAGTAGCTATTTCGAAATTCATTTCAACAAGTCATGATCTGCTCCAAAATAGAACACTTGATTAAAGAGGCAGAGAACCGTATTCTATAGCTACCTCAAGTTCACAATACTTGAATACCTAGTGGCCAAAGTGGCCAAACCACTTTAAAGCTTCTCTCCCACACAAAACAGGCCTTAAAACATCAACATATTTGTAAACAGTTATTTAATATGCAAAGAAGTAAAATTTGCAGTTTCCACGAGATTACTGTGACCTAACAGTTGTTATGTTTCACTTGACAAACAAGATATAATTAACACCCCTATAATCACACCAGTCAACACGAAGACAGTAGGAAAAAAAGCCATTAAAAACGAAGAAGCAATCAAACAAATTCCTTTTTCTCTCTAAACTCCTAACCTGCAGTTGGCAAATGAATATCCATGTACCTGTGTGACCAATGTAGAACTAATGCTTACTCATTAGGTGTACATTTCATTCACAATGGCAGTCGATCATCAAAAACCAGTCCGCAAATCAGACAAAGCCTTTTTTTTTTTGGAAAATTTTCCCAACAAACAATGAATGGTTTTGTCAAAATTGAAATATGGACAAGTTTATCTAAGATATTGTAAGTGTGGTAAGAGTTAAATAGCGTGTCAAAAACAGATTTGTCTTCTTTCTTTCCCTATAAAATATAGATAATTACTTTTGTCTACATCTTTTATTCCCTTAATCTTTACCCAATCTTATACTTCTGTCCCACAAGAATTTTCTTCCATTGACTACAAATTTGATCAATATACAGCTGTAATCCATAAAACTTGCATAAGTGCAACAAATTTGACATTTGTGTATAATTGTTACACTATTAATGGTCCAGTCAGTATATATTCCTGGTCAGGCTGCCATTTCCTATATCTAATGTGATCAATAATTGGAGATGATTATAATTTATAGATGCTTTTTTGGGAGAGAAAATTGTGTAATAATACATATAACCTTAAGCCAACTTTTCCCTGTTCCTACCAAGAGCATAACAAGCGAAACAAATTGTAAATGCAATAATGAATTATTCTGTAATGAATCAGAAATGACATATTGATCATTGCTTACTTACTAAAACAAGTTATTTCCTTAACACTGTCTGTTGAATATGTGGAACCATACCATAATAAAATGGGATTGCCTTGTTTTGGAATTGAGATTGTCAGTTGTTATTTTAAAAAGGATTGCAATATCATAACACAAAAACTCCAGCCGCCAACACAGTCTTTATTTACAATGTAATTGTATATTTTTTCATGGCAACAACCCCCACACCATTCATCCATACATTGGCCTCCCTTTCTGGGATAATGTATTTTTGAGGACTAAATATTAGGTACCAAATGAAACTACAATATTGACTGAACAGTGAGGGGTCAAACATGCTTCCCCCCCCCCCCCCCCTATTCTCTTCAACACTGCCTTAGGTTTGTGGGCGGGAGGGAAACAGTCAGTGTAACATTATTACTCAACCTCCATTCCACAACTAAAAGGCCAGTGGACGGTTATAATCTTCACAAAAAAGTCATGAGATTAAGATTTTAAAGTCAAGAATTACATTAATAACACATGTACGGTGATGTACCTATGATTATCTTCATTTTTTAAAGCCACATGACAGTAAACCTTCCTTGAAAAAAAAAAATGTTTTATAAAAAAATATATTTTTCTTAACTTATTTATCATCTGAATCCTCTTCTAGAGGAATAAGCAAGTAGAGATAAATACCTATGGGTGCAGTTATCAAGATATTCTGACAAATTATTGTACAATCTTTAACGACTATTGTCTGGGAAGGAGAGCTATCTATTATCAGTTCTATTGTCAATTGTATGACCATCAGGGGGATATCACTTACACATGGTCAATACATGAAAGTCTTATAAAAGTCATAACATGGCAACATTACATGAACAAATGCACAATTTATATTAAACATTCATATCAATAATCAATTTTCTTTAACTTACAAGTATACTTCTATTTTTCATTTGCTCTAAATCATTAATACTCACAAACATACTAGTTGCTAAGCCCTGAAAAGTCACTTATAATAGAAGACTGTAACATTATTATAAATTTAATATATTAAACAAATCTTGTCGCACAGTAACAAAAGCCATGTCAATCTTAAAAGCCCATTAAGCCTGAAAAATGCTTTAATATTTTAGTGGGTGGGTGTGTGGGAGGTGTAAAACTTTGTCAGAACATGATAAAATATCAACACAAATTACACAATAGGAAAATCTAAAACATGCTCAAAGGCCATCTAAAACCAAGCCTACAAAAGTGAAACTGCATATGTACAAGTTTAATTTGTAACTAAAATTCCTATCTGACACAAACAGACAACCTTTTAATCTACTTATCACCCTCCCAGTCAGTGCAGCATAAAGAATAATTAATAAATTAAACGAGACTTACCTGGAAGTTGAAGTTCAATTATTATTCTACTGCTACTGGACCACAGGGTTTAATGAGATGAACATATGATCTTATCAGATGACCAAGCAGACTTTCAGAGCATACATAATTATGCAAAATGCGACAATGGCTTATACATATGGGAGGGGTAATTGGGTGGGCATTAAACCCTGTGGTCCAGTAGCAGTAGAATAATAATTGAACTTCAAACTTCCAGGTAAGCTCTCGTTTAATTTATTAATTCTACTGCACTGGACCACCTAGGGTTAATGAGATTTTAGAGACCATGCTCGCATTTTGATAAGTCGTTAAAACTTCATAACCAAGTACAATGATTACGCATTCAATCTACGACTATTAACTTTTCAAAACTGAAAATGTAATGTACAAAATAAAGTATGCAATTGCCATATACATAAAATGCTGTAAAAGTAACAATCATTATAAAAGAATACTATTCCTATTTCTACTGTGCGGAAATTAAAGGTCATTATAGGCTTGACCCCTGCTGCAAATGTTACATTGCAAAATTGATAACATTGTATCGTATATTGTAAACAGAAAATTGCAAACAAGTTTGACACACATATACGTGTAGCACAAAAATTCTTTCACATGTGGTGATATTCGAAGTTTTTCTATGGTTTTAAAGCAACACATTTATGTTTTTAATTATAATTTCTTTAGGCTCGATTTCTGATATCTTGCAAAAATCAGTGTTTTTGAAATTACTGATCTGCGGTTAAAGGGCCATTAAGCCTAAACCTGCCATTATTCGTTTTATATTATTTACATTTTTTTCCATGCATGTTTTCTTCAATAACACATGTATATTATTTTCCAAATCAGCTCTGTATTGCAGTTACAGTACATGTTTCTATGGTTCACGTTTTCGATTCCACTCGATACAGGATAGGATATAATGAAACATACAAATGAATTTGTTCATTTTTCCTGAATTATTAATATTATTATCATTTTTGTTTGGAATCAATCAATCAATTAATTAGTTAATTAAGTCATCAACTGATTTATTTCAAAAACGATAATGAAAAACTACCAAAACAAATGGCTGAATCTCTTATCACCACTTAACTTATTCAGTTGTTTGAAAAACAAAACCCAAACAAGTAATATTCTATGATCATGCCATTTGGTAGAATAATCTGCCTTAGTGTTTTTTCCTTTCCCCGGG